GGAGGAGCAAATGAATCCTCACAGTCTGGTGAGAGTGGTGCAGAGGGAGGTGACAAGGGGATCTAGTCGATACACGACGCTCAGAGGAAAGGCAAGACGAACGTATAATCAGAATGCTGTTGGCACCATTAGTATTTAAACTCTGCGCTGGCTGCTGAAGATGGGAACAGAGCACCTATGGAAATGTCCCGAGTGCTGTGATGTCGGCTCTTGAATCAACAGAACTCAACTCTGTGGCACTTTACAGTAAATAAAATAATCGTTTATGTAACGATTGAACATCTTAGTTATTTTCTCCCTTTCAAGCGACACTTATCCTTATGTATTGACTGTTAAAATCAATTCACTTTATGTGTTTTCGTGTTATGTGATGATTTCCCGGAACGTATTAAAACTTGTTACGGGGAATACCCGTACGCAGTTGACAATAAAAGTCTCCAGGAGCTCTCCTCTGTGAAATCCATAGCTCACAGTGTCATACCACGCAGTTAACTCGCTGACTGGCCGATGCAACCGAATTTTGCATTTACCTCGTTTGGTTTCCCATCTAGTTTCCCACTGGGATTAAAACCATAACCATTCATTGGATTACTCGGAGAACAGGGTCCACCACTTGCAGCAGAGATTGGTTTGAGCAAGAGAGGCTAATAGACATTTGGAGTCTTGTAATGTGCATATTTGTTCCACTGGGACCTCTGACAACAGAGAATGTACTGTATTAGACTATACTTGCTATACAGATTAAATAAACTGGCTTCTTCTTCTTCTTCTTCTTCTTCTTCTTCTTCTTCTTCTTCTTCTTCTTCTTCTTCTTCTTCTTCTTCTTCTTCTTCTTCTTCTTCTTCTTCTTCTTCTTTTTCTTCTTCTTCTTCTTCTTCTTCTTCTTCTTCTTCTTCTTCTTCTTCTTCTTCTTCTTCTTCTTCTTCTTCTTCTTCTTCTTCTTCTTCTTCTTCTTCTTCTTCTTCTTCTTCTTCTTCTTCTTCTTCTTCTTCTTCTTCTCCTGCGTTCGACATCAGTCATGCTTAACATTGAGTCCCGTCTGGGTCACAAATAGGATTGTGCGTTTAAGGTCGCCACCGGTCCCCCATAGCTTCTCTTTCAATGTGGCTCCCTTGAGCCAGATCCACAGTCTTTGCTGGGAGAGGTTAGGGCAGTACTGTAGTATGTGCCCAGAGGTCTGTCTTTTTGCTCCACAATCACAGGCAGCAGATTCTTTTATGCCTATCCTGTACAGGTGTGCTCGAAGACCACAGTGTCCAGTCCGAAGTCTAAAAATTGATGGTTGTTTTTTCCTGTTGAGTTTGTTTATGCTGTCACTCTCTGGTCTGTAATCTCTATTCTGCTTTCTCCACTCCCGCTTGAAAGACTGCTTTAGTGCTGTTTTGGTTTCCTTGTAGCTGTGTGGTGGATGAGGTTGTGGAAGATTACTCCCAGCTTTTGCCAACTCATCTGCTCTCTCATTTCCTTGAATACCACAGTGGGCTGGTATTCACTGCAAGACCAGTTCTGCTTCCTTGGAGAGTGAGCCAATATTGGTCCTTAGATCTGCAATTAGTTTGTCTTGTTTTTTTGCTTGATAGTGCTTGGAGAACAGACAATGAGTCACTAAGTATAACAATTTTGTGCCCTCTGTGTTCTTGAGTGATAAGATGTTTGACTGCAGAAAGGAGGGCAGTTGCCTCAGCTCTGAAGTTAGTGCAGATGTCACCTGCTGGTAGAGAGAGAGTTTCTGCTGTTTAATGTATATTCCACAACCCCCCTTTCTGACTGCATTTATAGCAGAGCCGTCGGTGAAAACCTGAGTCCAAGTGGTGTTTGGATACTTCTCATCAAGCATAGCAAGAGCCATGGTTCTCTGTTGTGTCTCCGTCTGGGCATCTTTTGAAGTGATCCCTGGTACCTTTAGGACTACATTTGCCTTCTCTGGCTTGCTTGTCCATGGTTCTGGCCTAAGTTTTTCGCACAGAGCTACATCTCTTTCAAGCAGATCTTGGTGCTGTCTGTACAGTTCTCTAGCAATGTGGTTGGGGCTCTGACGCTTCAGTCTGTTTTTTTTTTGTTCTCTCTTGAAATTTAAAATGCAGTGGGGGACTTTGAAGTCTTTTTAATTTCTCATACTGTAAAAGAGTTTTGTATTGTCTTCTGAGTTCGATTGGTTCAGTATCTGCTATCTTCTCTATCTCTCTGATGGGGGTGGATTTCATGGCTCCGAGAGCAATCCTTAATCCCATATTCTGAACCGTGTCCAGTTTTCCCATTGTTGTCTTGGCTGCTGCAACCCATGCAGTGGAGGCATATTCCATGACTGGTCTGACTGCTCCAGTATATACTTGTTTTAGGATTCTGGAGTTAGCTCCCCATGTGGTACCCGCTAATTTTTTCATCACTGCAAGCTTCTTGAATGCTTTCCCCTGTACTGCTTCTACGTGTGACTTCCAAGTTAGTCGCGAATCAAGTGTAACGCCCAGAAAGGTAGGAGTGTCAGTCTGTGGAATGAGCTGGTTTTTTATCAAAATTTAGATTTTTTCTTTTTTGGGGAGAGAGACAAAAGTGATGCTGTGCTTTTTGAATTATTTAGCTTTAGACCCCACTTTTCGGTCCAGGCTTCTACATTTTCCACATTTTTCTGTAACAGATATGAGGCTGTGGTAGTGTATTCGGAGGCTGTTCAAACTGCAAAGTCATCAGCATGTAGGGTATTATAAACGTGCTGGTGGCAGGTTGCTGTGATATCATTTATGTAAACCAGGAACAGAGTTAGTGCTATCGCACTGCCCTGGGGAACTCCTTCTCTTAGTTTTGCCAGTTTGCCGACGTGTCCATCAATTCTGAATATGGCTCTGCGTTGGAAAAGAAAGTCTTTGATCCACTTGTACATGTTATGCACAACTCCTGCCTGTAGCAGTTTTAGTTGCAGGCCCTCTTTCCAAACTGTATCGAAAGCACGAGAGAGGTCAAAGAAGACAGCATGTCGGAGAGAGGGCACTACCAAAGCAAGAGACAGCCTGTTGGAGATCCATTGCAGCCAGACCAAAGCAAGAGACAGCCTGTTGGAGATCCATTGCAGCCAGACCAAAGCAAGAGACAGCCTGTTGGAGATCCATTGCAGCCAGACCAAAGCAAGAGACAGCCTGTTGGAGATCCATTGCAGCCAGACCAAAGCAAGAGACAGCCTGTTGGAGATCCATTGCAGCCAGACCAAAGCAAGAGACAGCCTGTTGGAGATCCATTGAAGCCAGACCAAAGCAAGAGACAGCATGTTGGAGATCCATTGCAGCCAGACCAAAGCAAGAGACAGCCTGTTGGAGATCCATTGCAGCCAGACCAAAGCAAGAGACAGCCTGTTGGAGATCCATTGTAGCCAGATCGAAGCAAGAGACAGCATGTTGGAGATCCATTGCAGCCAGACCAAAGCAAGAGACAGCCTGTTGGAGATCCATTGCAGCCAGACCAAAGCAAGAGACAGCATGTTGGAGATCCATTGCAGCCAGACCAAAGCAAGAGACACCTGTTGGAGATCCATTGTAGCCAGACCAAAGCAAGAGACAGCCTGGTGGAGATCCATTGTAGCCAAACCAAAGCAAGAGACAGCATGTTGGAGATCCATTGTAGCCAGACCAAAGCAAGAGACAGCATGTTGGAGATCCATTGTAGCCAGACCAAAGCAAGAGACAGCCTGTTGGAGATCCATTGTAGCCAGACCAAAGCAAGAGACAGCATGTTGGAGATCCATTGTAGCCAGACCAAAGCAAGAGACACCTGTTGGAAATCCATTGCAGCCAGACCAAAGCAAGAGACAGTCTGTTGGAGATCCATTGCAGCCAGACCAAAGCAAGAGACAGCCTGTTGGAGATCCATTGCAGCCAGTCTTCACTGTGGTAAAGGCACCTGATTGATTGAGACGTTTCTACCATCGATCAGACACTTAGGACATTATCTCTAACAAATCTGTTGTTTCCGGAGGTCATGGGCGAAGGGTATTGTCTGGATCTTTTCTCCCAGTATGACGGTGTGTTGGGAAACAAACAGATGGATAGATCAGCAGTCTCTGCTGGAGTTGTGGAATATTGATGCATGATAAGGCAGACGTGGTCAAAGCCTTAAGGGAGCACGTGTACAATGTGGAATAGAAAATTTATTATTACAGTCTGGTGAGATTGATGCAATAGGCAGTGGCGAAATGGGTTCTTGTCGATGTTTAGAAGAAAGGCAAGACGGAAATATAATCTGACTGCTACTGGCACTATTGACATTTGACTCTCTGTTGGCTGTTGAAGATGAGGACGGCGCACTTAATAGGAATGCCCAAGTGCTGTGATGTCTGTTCTTACATCAAATTCTCCCAGTGTCGGTTCCGGGTCCCGGTTATAGGGAAATCAAGAACAGACCCACTGACTACCCAAAAGCATGTCGCAAGAGGCAATTAATTTGGAGCTTCCTTCAAAGTTGGAGTGCATCTGCCTGGGAGGCAAGGAACCAACAGTCTGCATACAAATTAGTCAGATATGTCAAACGGATGCACACGCAACACTCAGGTTCTGGAACAGGACTGCAGTCCAGAAGTAGGCGAACAAACAGAACTTTCCACCAGCTGGTGAACGCGAAGAAGAAGAAAAATCAAATTAATTGATAGATATAAGAGATACAAAATGCAACCTGGCAAGTTTCTTAATCGCCCAAGATGGCGTCATCAAGTTTTGTGTTGCCAGAGATAGGAGAGCTCCAGCGTGACGTCAGCCGACTTGTGCCGTGCTTCATGGAGGAAGTCTTCTACTGACACAATCTTAACCACCCCGCCATCCGTCGATTTCATTATTTCACCAAACTTCGCTTAAAATCTGTGTCTCAGCCGCACACTTGAGGTTAACTCAGTCATTGTGGCATATATTACAGATTAAAGGAGCCCACGGTGTAGACACACGGGGTTGTTTGGAGTCGGAAATCTGCGAGAAAAGAAATTGTTAGTTGGCTAGCTAGGTACACAACAGTTGTGTTAGAGAATGAACGTCGAGGCATATGGCCCCAACTCTCAGACATTAACCTTCTTGGAAACGGAAGAGAACGATTTACTGGGGGCCGACACACAAGGCTCGGAGTTTGACTTCACCGATTTCACCCTGCCGTCCCAGACGCAGTCGCAGACTCAACATTCACACCACCAGGATGATGATAACAGCGGTCTTAACCACAACAAAAACCATGTACTTCAGGTATATACCACCATGGTCTCCTCTGAGTTGTTTGACAAAATCAAATCAACATTCACGTTTGTTCATTTTTTTAATGTTAAAATGTTCCATATTTTAAAAATTTGTTTACTTCATATAGTTAATTACAGCATTGATTGTGTATTTTAATATTATACTTATACTTAAAGTTGTTCTTCTTTCAATACAGGCCGGTAGCTGGAAAGACCGCCGATCGGCTTTAAAGAGTTCTCTCCCTTGGCTGCATTGCAAACACGGAGCGGAAAAGTCACGAATCAAAGAAGACAGTGAGGTCGACATCAGAGCTGCCAATGCTTGGGTGTTTCCTCCAGATCTGGGTGTTTCCTCCAGATCTGGGTGTTTTTTTGACGCGTCGGGGAAATCTGGGTGTGTTTTTTAGTAAATATATCCTTATATAACAGTGGTATTAGTTGCCATGGATGTGACTCCTGCAGATGTATGCCTTAATGACCAATAAATTTGCGTAGTTAGGGTTAGGGTTGGAGGTGACAATTTTGACGCAGGAGTTCCATATAATGGCGCACCGTTCACATACACACCCAAACAATCGAAGGACTGTGGACTGGATGCTACTCAAATGGACAATTTGCCACCGATTGGGCACCAGCCGCGCTCTATTGCCGTCATATTTGGGAGAATTCCTGTGGCGCCACTCCCACAAGCATCAGATTGTCGGCCATTATTTGGAACTCCTATGTCAAAATTTTCACATCTAACCCTAACCCTAATCCTAACCCAACCCCTAAAGCGGCTAACCCTAACCCTACACCCTACGCAACCGTATGATGATAGGTAAGTATGTCATTTGATTCGTGACTTTTCCGCTCCGTGTTTGCAATGCAGCCAAGGGAGAGAACTCCCACTAAGCTGATCGGCGGCTTTCCAGCTACCGGCCTGTATTGAAAGAAGAGCCTACTTAAATACTATTGGTGTCAGCATCTGTTCTGTGGCTTAAGCATTGCGAACGCGCTTTGTAATACTGGGGTGCCGGGTTCGATCCCAGCTGCAGCTGGTTTGTCTTGCGTTGGTTTCGACAGCGGTACCAAATGCCAACCGTGCAGCAAGCAGTGGCAAACTACTGGATGTAAATTTACCTAGAAAACCACAACAGCCAAAATATGCTGGTGTTGGTTCTGCAACGTCCTGTAAAGGATACATAACTAACTTTTGAACTTTGAATACTGGGTTAGGTACAGGAGCAAAATGTATAGATATGTAATGAATGGGTTTGTATGTGGTTCTCGCTGTCTAGGCGGTGTTCATGCGTGTGTGGTGGATGATATTATCACACGCTTCACGTTACACACCTGGCACAAGCCGACACCGATGTGAGCTTACGAGACATTACTTTATTGACGTATTACAACTTACGACAAACAGAATCGTCTAGTCGATGTCTAATTGAACCGCTTTCGTACACAAACTCACGCAGCCTTTTAACGAACAGTCTTCTGCAGGCATTCAAGCAACGATGGGTCCCATGGATTCAACACTGACGTTTGGACATCTCACACGCTGGCATGGTCGATCTCAGCTTAACACTTCGTCGGCAGGTCTCCTTTCTCCTCAGGCACTCACAGAGACATTCGCACATTCAGTCGCTCGTCCTCTCGCTCCAACAGGTCGACACAAACTAAACTTGACCAGAGTCAAGTCTGACTTATACCACGGGTTCCTTTCACGTGACAACACGTGGTGGTCCTTTACTTTTCCCGTGGCGACCTTGGGTCGCATCACCGTGGTCCCCGTGATAACTAGTGGTTAGTCACCTATCTCCAGATTCTCATTTAATCCAAGTATCTGGACTATCTCGGTGTTTTCGGTCAGCTTTGGGCCTTCCCCCCAACCATCCTAAACTGGGTCGAAAATATCCCCCATTACAAGATAAAATAGACAGGTTTGAGTAGAACTGTGAAGTTATTTTCTCTTGGAATCTTCGGAAGTGCAACAGAACAGAGTCCAGTGTATGTATCCATATCCTGAAAGACTTTTTCAGTGGAGGGGAAGCAGGGATTTCAGTGAAGGGGAAGCAGGGATTTCCGAAAGATATTCAACACTAAAGGGGTAAACAGGCGGACTTTTAATCAGGTCGCAACTGGTGCTATTAAAATTGCTTTTATATATTGATATTCCATTGTGAACATGCCCCAAGTGCTGGCAGGGATGTCAATCAGTTCTTTATTCATTACAGCATGGGTCCTACTGAATGTTCTTATAGTTCTGGCAGTCATCATCTTCTCTTAGCTTCTGTCATCATCATTTTGTGATATTTTTTTGAATTTTTCAGAAATTGTTTTTAAAATTGAATAATCATGAGAAAGTTAAAAGGGCATCCATTATAGCATATTAAAATGTTGTTGTCATTAATTAGAGAAGCATTGTTTTTGTGAGCACAAACCTTTAGAGGAATAACTAGTGTTTACATTATGCTGCCAGTTGGTTGGGGTGCCATAGTGGCTAGATGCTTTCCTACAACCCAAAGCTCTTGGATTCGAATGTGCATGGAAAGTGAAGCTGCATGGTCTCAAGTCATGGCGTCCGCCTCAAGTGCTGGAGGTCCCTGGTTCAGGCCCTGGTGAATGCTGGGATTTTTTCATTTGAACTTTGAGTAGTAAGATCGGACACAGCATGTATTGTTGCGCACTTAAAATGTCCCTTAGCAGTTGGAAATCAAAAAGAGTAGCCTAACACTGCTGCCCAGGCACATATTGGAGTTAAAAATCGAACCAAAGTATTTCAGGATCCTCGCCGGTGCTTCAGAGTTCGTGAACTGCACTGAGATTCTTCGGACTCAGGCTTGAGTCAGAAGTAGAATGGAGCACTTTTCCTTGTGCTGTGATGTAGATCCATCATCAAAACAAATATAACTATAACCACAATCTGTGCTTGAAAGTTAGCTTGCTATCAGAAATGACCTTGATTGCCAGATCGACCCAGCATAAAATAGGTACCTAGAAAAGTCCTGGGAAATAAAGGTGGCCGCTGTTTGTCAACTTATACCCAATGCGCCACTGATGTCTTCTTCTTCTTCTTCGATCCTTCTGTCAGAAAACGTATATCAGGAGGCCGGTAGCCTTTATGAAAGCTATCGTGCAATCCATATCCTCTTGTGTACCATACAGTTTTGTCTTTATTGTGGTTGGAACAGGCCAGATTGCGTCTCTGTTGTCAGCATACAGTTGACAGTGTTGGAGCACATGCTCAGCACTTTCGGGTGCCACGCTGCAGGGACACGTCTCCGTATTTCCTACACCGAAAAATTTGAACATATGTTGACGAAATCTGTTGTGCCCTGTCCTTAGTCTGAATATAATAGACTGTCCCTCTCTAGAGAGGCGATGAAGTGAGTCTCGGGGAGAAAATCTGGTGTGGGTATCCAGCCACCTTTCTTGGATACTAGATTGTATTAGTGTTTTCATCTCTTGGTGGGTTAAGTCGCTATTTGGTTGTACCATGTCACTGCCGCTTCTGGCTAATCTGTCCGCTATTTCATTGCCTTCCAAGCCACAGTGACCTGGAATCCACTAAGAAGTGACACACAAAAAGCCTTTTCCTTTACTAAAATTTTGTTGCTGTTTTGTTTACTTACCGTTGAGTGTCAGAAGTCGTGCTGACTATCATATTATTGGCTGGTTTTATACATTCCATCTTGCCACCACATGGGCTCCTCATTTCTTCAAACATTATTTTGTGGTGAAAGAAAATGCATGGTGGAGAAAAAAAAAGAATGCTTAAAATCCTTTTTTCACGTCATAATTTGCTTGTATCTTTAGTGTTAGAATTGCAAATGAGTCAGTCGAGCCCTCACACAGTGGTGCCCTCGCTCAGTCGAGCCCTCGCTCACTAGTGCCCAGTGCATTTGTTAACCCCAAGGTGTAATATTTAATTTAATTCTTAACTCCCATTTCAAAAAAATATTTACAAAAATTAAGATGAATAAATTAAAAAAAAAAATTGGTTAGGGACATTAGGGATATTTGAAAGTATGTTTTTTTCCTAGAATTCTTACGGAACTGTGGCCTTTTTTAAAGAATTTAAGAATGAAACTTTCCATTTCATTAGGTAAAAAATTACCTATTATATTAGGGAATGTGTTATATATAAATGGATAAAGCCAGTTTTTGCTGGGCCAAGAGATCAGTAACACGTAGCTTCGTATTGTTTCTTTAACACAAGTTGTATTGTTTATTTATCACACTATCTAATAGGATCCTATATATCGTACCAACAGAACCCATACAAAATGAATAATGAAAACTATTTATTGTTAGTGCAAAAATGTTACATTTGTTTAATTACTTTAGAGATTGTGATCATTAACATTCCAATTGTCATTAAATTAAATGTGACTTGATTCAATAAAGTAACATTAACAAAGTTGAGTGGCCTGATAATATCCAATCTTTTGGCACAAAAAAATAAAAAAAACTTATATTCTTTCAAGTGCTTAACATTGAGTCCCGTCTGGGTCACAAAAAGGATTGTGCGTTTAAGGTCGCCACCGGTCCCCCATAGCTTCTCTTTCAATGTGCAGAAACCTGCATATTTGTAACTTGTTTAGTCAGCTCTTCTGTCTGGGGAGTGTTGATTAGATGTATGTCAGGGAAAGTATTGTACTACATGGTCACGGCTCACCCATACTTACCTTTAATAGCAGTTTAAATTGTCAGTCTGTTTCTATGAAAATGCTTGTATGAGGCTTTTGTCCTAACCAAAATGCAAACCAACAACTAATTATTGTCAGTTTTTGACACATCCGGGCCTGTTTCAAAAGTATTTGATGTGAATTAGGTTCCCTACTGTCAGCTGTTGTTCCAACTTTGTCACAAATAGGTTACCCCATAATTGCTTCATTCCTAAGCCAGTAAAACAACATAAACTGCCTCTCACTGCCCCATGTGAACAGTTAGACTGTCATCTTAGAAAAATCCAACACCTCGCACATGCATCAAATGCATAAGGCAACTGTCATTTCTGCCAGCACTTATAGTTTAAACACTAGAATTGCTATTCATAGTTGATGAAAGCAACGGTCGCGACAAACCAGCAGGTGCACAAACATATCTACATAAGGCACACCGCAAAAACTGTGGCAACCAGCCTCTCATTATTTTATGAATTTGTACTTTGCAACACACATCTTTGAGAGCACAGACATTGAGCATTCTCCGTGAAATTCGCAGTGTCGCACTATGCACTTCACTCAGCACCTGGCTGACAGAACCAGTCTGCTAATATCATGTAGCAGTATTGCAATCATTTTGGTGATAGATAAAGTCATAATCAATGATATTGGCAAGCTCACACAATCGGAAAATCACGTCAGAATAAAAAATGTCTAAGTCTCTGATTAAACATTTTTAATATATGAAATCTACCAGAATTGATCAAATGCAGCTAAATTGTATAGTTTCAGTTTGTCTATTCTAGGCAGCTGTTACTGTGACATGTTTAGCTGCAAGCAAACATGGCTTGAAAGTAGCACATGACTGGGTTTGTTCTCTGTCAGTGTTTGTTTATGTTTATTCGATGAATCAACATCACGGCACACGGGTGTAAACCATAAGTGTTCCGCTCTACTTCTAACTCAAGCCTGCGTCTGAAGAATCTCCATGTTTCTCCATATCTGACACATGCCGACTGGCAAGGGTTGTTATGTTTCTCCATATCTGACACATGCCGACTGGCAAGGGTTGTCGTGTTTCTCCATATCTGGTCAAATGCAGATTGGCAAGGGTTGTTGTGTTTCTCCATATCTGGTCAAATACTGCGAGGGTTTACACACCCATAATATTAGACATCACCAAGTACATCTAAACAACACAATTTGATATCTGTGGCATTATACACTTAGATACAACAGATCAGTTCGATAAAGTTATCATGTAAACATTTTAACTTGAACCAATTGGACATCAAATATAATGCCAGAGAAGAGAAATATCAGATCAGGTTATGTAAAAACAAAACTTCAAGAAATAACTGTACAGATGGCAATTTGTTTCCCCACATACTTGTATAACTGGGGTGTGATTGCTTTCATGTTAGATTATTAGCAAACTACTGAAGTCAGATGTTAGGGATTTAAACAAAAAAACTGTTGCCTACACAGAATAATGAATGATAGAAAGGTATACATTTATTTTAAAATTTATTTCATTTCTGCTTAGATAAATGGGGTGGACCATATTTTGGAAAATGGAGTGATTGATACAAAAGTGTCGGCCATTAGCCACGGTGTTGGGGAACTCAACTTTGAGGAGGAGCCCGATGAGAACCAGTTCTACTTGAAGGATTTGCCGGTTCATGCTTGCACGTAAGTTTCCTTGACTCCATGATTTGTCTACTTTTGTCTTCTGCCTCGTTCGTACTAGAAGGTGCTGGTTGTGTTGTGTCTGCATCTATTGACAGTAGACGTTTGCATCTGTTGGCCAAATTGTGCCACTTCCATGCATCTGTTAGCTGAGTAATGTCATTTCAGTGCATCTGTTGACTGAAATATGTCATTTCAGTGCATCTGTTGGCTGAGTAATGTCATTTCAGTGCATACGTTGGCTGAAATATGTCATGGCAAATCTCTAGATCTGTCTCACTCAGTGTTTCATGACAAATCTCTAGATCTGTCTTACTTAGTGTTTCATGACAAATCTCTAGATCTGTCTCACTCAGTGTTTCATGACAAATGTCTAGATCTGTCTCACTCAGTGTTTCATGACAAATGTCTAGATCTGTCTCACTCCACTCATTGTTTCATGACAAATCTCTAGATCTGTCTCACTCAGTGTTTCCAAACAAATGTCTAGATCTGTCTCACTCAGTGTTTCATGACAAATCTCTAGATCTGTCTCACTCATTGTTTCATGACACATCTCTAGATCTGTCTCACTCATTGTTTCATGACAAATCTCTAGATCTGTCTCACTCATTGTTTCATGACAAATCTCTAGATCTGTCTCACTCATTGTTTCATGACAAATCTCTAGATCTGTCTCACTCATTGTTTCATGACAAATCTCTAGATCTGTCTCACTCATTGTTTCATGACAAATCTCTAGATCTGTCTCACTCAGTGTTTCATGACATGGTAATTCTGGATGACTTGGCTAAATTACAAAATCAGGATAAGAACACAGACCAGGTCATGTCAGATGGTCAGCCATGACTAGAAATCTGGATCAGCATGACACCATGATGTCTACCGTCCTCCTTGTTTCGTAACAATCCACATGATGATCACCATGGGACTAAACCAAGTCCGCTTGATCTCACATCAGCTGTGCTCCCAAACTGGACAAAACTGGAGATTAGAACACATCTGGCATTTTATTTTGCAGTCTAGGACAGAACAAATATGACAGTCCACAATTAAATGGAAAGTGAAGAGTTCTGATATTGTCTGACATGTGTCTAGTCCCTTTTTCTTCTAAGTCTCGTAGACAGAAGAAAGCTCAAGTGGTTTCTTACCAACTGTTTATACTGGGAGCTGACATGTTTAAATTGCATTTTCTGCTTTTCTGAAATTTCTTGTATGGTCAAACTTGTTTGCTGTCTGTGTTCTCCACGTGGGATTTCCTATTTGTGTCTGGATTGCATCATTTAGTTCTGCACCTAAATATACTAATTTAATTGACAGCTCCTTCTAGAAGTCTTCCAGAACTTGTAGAAAGCTAGTGTACCAAGGCTCTCTCTTTAATATGGTATGTCAACGATTACATCAGATGCTGTTTGTATAACTAGGTTATTCATTTGCAAATATCCCTCTGCTAAAAAAAAACTTATGGTTCTAGAAAGGGAATGTCAAAATTACTCAATATTGTTAATTTTTCAGTCTATTCAAGTATGCAGTTGAGGACGTTTCCCTATTACAGTGTATTACCATACATACAATTACAAAGCTTTGTTAGACAATGAAAAGAAACAATCTTTTGTAACTAAGATGCTCAAAGAAAGTTACATTTTTCACAACAGCTGTTCAATAGAGATAATATTGACTGCAGAGATGTCAGTACATTCTTTGTTTTACTTGCAGGTACTGTGGCATTCATGATCCTGCTTGTGTGGTCTTCTGCAATGCCACTAAAAAATGGTTTTGTAACGGTAGAGGCAACACCTCTGGAAGGTAATATCAAGCTCTGGCTCGTTTTTTTTTTTTTTTTTACAAGTTGTGTCTTTCACTATAAAAGGATTTATAAATTAAATTTGATTTACCATAGCCCATTAATTGTGATCACATCTACATAAATTTCTGTCTTCTGTGTGTTTCTTTTCTTTTAAATGTTCTGAGGTGAAAAGTATAATTAACTTATGAAATATGTGTGTGTATCCCTTTATTGGAGGTTGGCTTCATTGCCACTGTTATCTTTGAAAATATTACCTGAAATCATGTGTAATTTTTCTGAGCATGTGTGTAATATTTGATCAAGAAGTTGTATGTAATTTAATTTGTTCTTTGCATTTACGGTCTGTAAGCTCCAGCGGAAAATCTTGGTTGCTTCCAAATGCCTGGACTTCGGACCAGTTTGGCTTGTGCATAACTTTTCAGGCATGGCTGATTTATTTGAATTCTGTTGGTTCTTTAAGTATCCGACTGTAAAGAACAATGTTATTTTGCATGAGGTTGTGCATAATTTTTCCCCTAGGCGTTATTTGTATTTTTGTGTGAGAAGTTGTGTGTAATTTATTATCTGAGAAGTTCTGTGTAATTTATTTTGTTTTCAGCCACATCATCAACCATCTGGTTAGAGCCAAGGCGAAAGAAGTGACCTTGCACAAAGATGGGCCCCTGGGAGAAACTGTGCTGGAGTGCTACAACTGTGGCTGCCGAAACGTCTTCCTGCTGGGGTTTATCCCTGCCAAAGCCGAGTCTGTGGTGGTGCTGCTGTGTAGGACACCCTGTGCCAACTTGAGCACACTCAAGGACATGAACTGGTGAGCCACTGTGCCTGGTGCCACTGTTGTCCTTAGTCTCAGTTATTGGTGAGCTACTGTGCCTGGTGCCACTGTTGTCGTGAGTCCCAGTTATTGGTGAGCTACTGTGCCTGGTGCCAGTGTTGTCTCAATTATTGGTGAGCCACTGTGCCCGGTGCCAGTGTTGTCTCAGTTATTGGTGAGCCACTGTGCCTGGTGCCAGTGTTGTCGATAGTCTCAGTTATTGGTGAGCCACTGTGCCTGGTGCCAGTGTTGTCTCAGTTATTGGTGAGCCACTGTGCCTGGTGCCAGTGTTGTCTCAGTTATTGGTGAGCCACTGTGCCTGGTGCCAGTGTTGTCTCAGTTATTGGTGAGCCACTGTGCCTGGTGCCAGTGTTGTCGATAGTCTCAGTTATTGGTGAGCCACTGTGCCTGGTGCCAGTGTTGTCTCAGTTATTGGTGAGCCACTGTGCCTGGTGCCACTGTTGTCGTTAGTCTCAGTTATTGGTGAGCCACTGTGCCTGGTGCCAGTGTTGTCGATAGTCTCAGTTATTGGTGAGCTACTGTGCCTGGTGCCAGTGTTGTCGATAGTCTCAGTTATTGGTGAGCTACTGTGCCTGGTGCCAGTGTTGTCGATAGTCTCAGTTATTGGTGAGCCACTGTGCCTGGTGCCAGTGTTGTCGATAGTCTCAGTTATTGGTGAGCCACTGTGCCTGGTGCCAGTGTTGTCGTTAGTCTCAGTTATTGGTGAGCCACTGTGCCTGGTGCCAGTGTTGTCGATAGTCTCAGTTATTGGTGAGCCACTGTGCCTGGTGCCAGTGTTGTCGATAGTCTCAGTTGGTGAGCCACTGTGCCTGGTGCCAGTGTTTGTCGATAGTCTCAGTTATTGGTGAGCCACTGTGCCTGGTGCCAGTGTTGTCGATAGTCTCAGTTATTGGTGAGCTACTGTGCCTGGTGCCAGTGTTGTCGATAGTCTCAGTTATTGGTGAGCCACTGTGCCTGTGCCAGTGGTGCCAGTGTTGTCCAGTGTTGTAGTCTCAGTTATTGGTGAGCCACTGTGCCTGGTGCCAGTGTTGTCGATAGTCTCAGTTATTGGTGAGCCACTGTGCCTGGTGCCACTGTTGTCTGGTGCCAGTGTTGTCTGGTGCCAGTCTCAGTTATTGGTGAGCCACTGTGCCTGGTGCCAGTGTTGTCGATAGTCTCAGTTATTGGTGAGCCACTGTGCCTGGTGCCTGGTGCCAGTTATTGGTGAGCCACTGTGCCTGGTGCCAGTGTTGTCTCAGTTATTGGTGAGCTACTGTGCCTGGTGCCAGTGTTGTCGATAGTCTCAGTTATTGGTGAGCCACTGTGCCTGGTGCCAGTGTTGTCTCAGTTATTGGTGAGCCACTGTGCCTGGTGCCAGTGTTGTCTCAGTTATTGGTGAGCCACTGTGCCTGGTGCCAGTGTTGTCGATAGTCTCAGTTATTGGTGAGCCACTGTGCCTGGTGCCAGTGTTGTCTCAGTTAGTTGGTGTCGTTAGTCTCAGTTAGCCACTGTGCCTGGTGCCAGTGTTGTCGTCAGTCTCAGTTATTGGTGAGCCACTGTGCCTGGTGCCAGTGTTGTCGATAGTCTCAGTTGTTTGTCTCAGTTATTTGTCGATAGCCTCACTGTGCCTGGTGCCAGTGTTGTCGTTAGTCTCAGTTATTGGTGAGCCACTGTGCCTGGTGCCAGTGTTGTCGATAGTCTCAGTTATTGGTGAGCCACTGTGCCTGGTGCCAGTGTTGTCGATAGTCTCAGTTATTGGTGAGCCACTGTGCCTGGTGCCAGTGTTGTCGATAGTCTCAGTTATTGGTGAGCCACTGTGCCTGGTGCCAGTGTTGTCTCAGTTATTGGTGAGCCACTGTGCCTGGTGCCAGTGTGTCGTCTCTACTGTGCCTGGTGCCAGTTATTCAGGTGAGCCACTGTGCCTGGTGCCAGTGTTGTCGATAGTCTCAGTTATTGGTGAGCCACTGTGCCTGGTGCCAGTCGTTGTCTCAGTTATTGGTGAGTGCCACTGTGCCTGGTGGTGCCAGTGTTGTCGATAGTCTCAGTTATTGGTGAGCCACTGTGCCTGGTGCCAGTGTTGTCTCAGTTATTGGTGAGCCACTGTGCCTGGTGCCAGTGTTGTCGATAGTCTCAGTTATTGGTGAGCCACTGTGCCTGGTGCCAGTGTTTGTCGTCTCAGTTATTGGTGAGCCACTGTGCCTGGTGCCAGTGTTGTCGATAGTCTCAGTTATTGGTGAGCCACTGTGCCTGGTGCCAGTGTTGTCGTGTCTCAGTTATTGGTGAGCTACTGTGCCTGGTGCCAGTGTTGTCGATAGTCTCAGTTATTGGTGAGCTACTGTGCCTGGTGCCAGTGTTGTCCAGTGTTGTCTCTGTTATTGGTGAGCTACTGTGCCTGGTGCCAGTGTTGTCGATAGTCTCAGTTATTGGTGAGCCACTGTGCCTGGTGCCAGTGTTGTCGATAGTCTCAGTTATTGGTGAGCCACTGTGCCTGGTGCCAGTGTTGTCTCAGTTATTGGTGAGCCACTGTGCCTGGTGCCAGTGTTGTCGATAGTCTCAGTTATTGGTGAGCCACTGTGCCTGGTGCCAGTGTTGTCGATAGTCTCAGTTATTGGTGAGCCACTGTGCCTGGTGCCAGTGTTGTCGATAGTCTCAGTTATTGGTGAGCTTGTTGTGAGCCACTGTGCCTGGTGCCAGTGTTGTCGATAGTCTCAGTTATTGGTGAGCCACTGTGCCTGGTGCCAGTGTTGTCGATAGTCTCAGTTATTGGTGAGCCACTGTGCCTGGTGCCAGTGTTGTCGATAGTCTCAGTTATTGGTGAGCTACTGTGCTCAGTGGTGCCAGTGCCACTGTGTCGATAGTCTCAGTTATTGGTGAGCCACTGTGCCTGGTGTGCCAGTGTTGTCGGTAGTTGTCTCAGTTATTGGTGAGCCACTGTGCCTGGTGCCAGTGTTGTAGTCTCAGTTATTGGTGAGCCACTGTGCTGGTGCCAGTGTTGTCGATAGTCTCAGTTATTGGTGAGTGCCTGGTGCCACTGTGCCAGTTATTGGTGTGCCAGTGTTGTCGATAGTCTCAGTTATTGGTGAGCTACTGTGCCTGGTGCCAGTGTTGTCTCTCAGTTATTGGTGAGCCACTGTGCCTGGTGCCAGTGTTGTCTCAGTTAGTCAGTTATTGGTGAGCCACTGTGCCTGGTGCCAGTGTTGTCGATCAGTTATTGGTGAGCCACCAGTGTGCCTGTGCCAGTGCCTGGTGTTGTCTCAGTTATTGGTGAGCCACTGTGCCCTGGTGCCAGTGTTGTCGATAGTCTCAGTTATTGGTGAGTGCCACTGGTGCCAGTGTTGTCGATAGTCCAGTATTGGTGAGCCACTGTGCTGGTGCCAGTGTTGTCGTAGTCTCAGTTATTGGTGAGCCACTGTGCCTGGTGCCAGTGTTGTCTTGTCGATAGTCTCAGTTATTGGTGAGCCACTGTGCCTGGTGCCAGTGTTGTCGAGTCTAGTTGGTGAGCCACTGTGCCTGGTGCCAGTGTTGTCTCAGTTATTGGTGAGCTACTGTGCCTGGTGCCAGTGTTGTCGATAGTCTCAGTTGTTGGTGAGCCACTGTGCCTGGTTCCAGTGTTGTCGTTAGTCTCAGTTATTGTGCTGGAGTTCTGACCTCTCTGTGTGTACGAGCTATAATGTTTAGTATTTATTTTAGGGGTCTGAAGATTGAGTCTTCATCAGATGCCTCACTGGCTGACATTTTGCTGTGCCAAGAGAAAAGGCTGTCAGAAAATTTCTTTTTTTTTGCTTTTGTCTTTTCTCCGTGTATTTGTTTTTCTTCTCTGATCGTGTGGCTAAGCATCTTTCAAAATATTTGGATGTCTTTTTTTAAGACTGTCCAAATGAACATGGCGAAACTAGTATTATTTTCACAGTGAGCCAGAAAAAAAAATGCAGAGAAACAGACATGAAAACAGGAAGTTTAATCACATTGATAACTTCAGAATTGTCCATCTTTAGATTTAATCCTTTTAAAGTGACATGTTCATTTGTTGATTGTCGGCTGTTGTCATGCAGGGACCCCAGCCAGTGGCAGCCACTGATCAACGACCGCTCGTTCCTCTCCTGGCTGGTGAAGATGCCCAGTGAGCAGGAACAACTGAGGGCCAGGCAGATTACAGCCCAGCAGATCAACAAGCTGGAGGAGTTGTGGAAGGTTGGTTTGGGCCTGTCATTTTTGGTTTCCTTTGTAGACATACAATAGTCATTCATTGATCACTTAAAACAGCCTTTGTTTTTGTAAATCCTAGAATATTACAGATAGCTAGCTGTCTTTTTAATCTGTGCTCTTCTGTTCGAGAGCAGTACTTGTGATCTTTTCCTTGATGCATTTGGTATCATCCAGACTCTTTGCTCACTTCTAGCTGTCAGTCTTTGCTCACTTCTAGCTGTCAGTCTCTGCTCACTTCTAGCTGAGTCAGATTCTTTGCTCACTCCTAGCTGAGTCAGACTCTTTTTGCTCACTGCTAGCTGAGTCAGATTCTTTACTCACTCCTAGCTGAGTCAGATTCTCTTTAGCTGCAGTCAGCTGTCTCTTTCCTAGCTGAGTCTTTGCTCACTCCTAGAGTTTCTTTCACTCCTAGCTGAGTCAGATTCTTTGCTCACTCCTAGCTGAGTCAGGCTCTGAGTCAGATTCTTTGCTCACTCAGTCCTAGCTGAGTCAGTCAGATTCTTTGCTCACTCCTAGCTGAGTCAGACTTCTTTGCTTGCTGAGTCACTCTCACTAGCTGAGTCAGATCCTAGCTTTCAGCTCTTTGCTCACTCCTAGCTGAGCAGATTCTTTGCTCACTCCTCAGTCAGATTCTTTGCTCACTCCTAGCTGAGTCAGATTCTTTGCTCACTCCTAGCTGAGTCAGATTCTTTGCTCACTCCTAGCTGAGTCAGATTCTTTGCTCACTCCTAGCTGAGTCAGATTCTTTGCTCACTCCTAGCTGAGTCAGATTCTTTGCTCACTCCTAGCTGAGTCAGATTCTTTGCTCACTCCTAGCTGAGTCAGATTCTTTGCTCACTCCTAGCTGAGTCAGATTCTTTGCTCACTCCTAGCTGAGTCAGATTCTTTGCTCACTCCTAGCTGAGTCAGGTTTTTTGCTCATTCCTAGCTAAGGCTCTTTGCTCACTCCTAGCTAAGGCTCTTTGCTCACTCCTAGCTAAGGCTCTTTGCTCACTCCTAGCTAAGGCTCTTTGCTCACTCCTAGCTGAGTCAAACTCTTTACTCACTCCTAGCTGAGTCACTCTTTACTCACTCCTAGCTGAATCACTCTTTACTTACTCCTAGCTGAATCACTCTTTACTCACTCCTAGCTGAATCACTCTTTACTCACTCCTAGCTGAATCACTCTTTACTCACTCCTAGCTGAATCACTCTTTACTCACTCCTAGCTGAATCACTCTTTACTCACTCCTAGCTGAATCACTCTTTACTCACTCCTAGCTGAGTCAGACTCTTTGCTCACTCCTAGCTGAGTCAAACTCCTTACTCACTGAGAATCACTCTTTACTCACTCCTAGCTAAGGCTCTTTGCTCACTCCTAGCTGAGTCAGATTTACTCACTCCTAGCTCACTCTTTACTCACTCCTAGCTGAATCACTCTTTACTCACTCCTAGCTGAATCACTCTTTACTCACTCCTAGCTGAATCACTCTTTACTCACTCCTAGCTGAATCACTCTTTACTCACTCCTAGCTGAATCACTCTTTACTCACTCCTAGCTGAGTCAGACTCTTTGCTCACTCCTAGCTGAGTCAAACTCCTTACTCACTCCTAGCTGAATCACTCTTTACTCACTCCTAGCTAAGGCTCTTTGCTCACTCCTAGCTGAGTCAGGCTCTTTACTTACTCCTAGCTGAGTCAGGCTCTTTACTCACTCCTAGCTGAGTCAGGCTCTTTACTCACTCCTAGTTATGTCAGGCTCTTTGCTCACTCCTAGCTGAATCACACTCATTTATATGGATACTGTTAGTAGGTTCTCTTCTCCCCCCCCCCCCCCCCCCCCCACCCACCCCCCCAACTGTGACTTGAACCAAGAGAATCTCTATCGTATCTGCCTTATCCTGGTCAGAAAATAGGCTGGAGAAATACCTTGCAATCCTATTTATTATATTCCCATCTTCAGATTCAGAAGTTCTTAACACACGGTCCGGATTTACAGTTGTAACAAACAAATGGCAACTCCTAACACACGGTCCGGATTAACAGTTGTAACAAACAAATGGCAACTGTTATCACACAGTCCGGATTTACAGTTGTAACAAACAAATGGCAACTCTTAACACAGGGTCCGGATTTACAGTTGTAACAAAAAAATGGCAACTGTTCAACACTAAGCTTTGATTTCAAATAAATCACATAATTAACGCACTAAAAAAACACAAATAATTTATGATACAGTTTAAGGGGCACACATGATGACAAGATTCATCTGTAATTTTATACCACAATTTATGATACAGTTTAAGGGGCACACATGATGACAAGATTCATCTGTAATTTTATACCACAATTTATGATGCAGTTTAAGGGGCACACATGATTACAAGATTCATCTGTAATTTTATACCACAATTGTATGATGCAGTTTAAGGGACACACATGATTACAAGATTCATCTGTGATTTTATACCACAATTTATGATACAGTTTAAGGGGCACACATGATTACAAGATTCATCTGTAATTTTATACCACAATTTATGATACAGTTTAAGGGACACACATGATTACAAGATTCATCTGTAATTTTAAACCACAATTTATGATACATTTTAAGGGGACACACATGATGACAAGATTCAGCTGTAATTTTATACCACAATTTATGTCATTTTAAGGACAAGATTACAAAGATTCATCTGTAATTTTAAACCACAATTTATGATACATTTTAAGGGGACACACATGATGACAAGATTCATCTGTAATTTTATACCACAATTTATGATACAGTTAAAGGGACACACATGATTACAAGATTCATCTGTAATTTTAGACCACAATTTATGATGAATTTGGAAGAGAATGATTGAATCTTGTGGGTCCATGAAAGTGTCTTGAAATACATCTACTAATCTACTCAGTCGTTTATGGTCAGTCAGCCTTTCATCATTTGGCAAGATATATTTCTATAGCTAGTCACGGTTAAGCCATGTGGGTCACATCTTGTTATGAGGTCCCGGGAACTGGTGCTTAGCCAAGCCAGACTGAAATAGACACTAAGATTGCCATAAATAATTGATGTCCTTTTGACATTCTTGACACAAATAATTATGGTTTAGAATAAACCTTAACATGTTTTCCTCCTCTTTTGTTTAATGCTGTACTTCATTGTCATCCACAAAGCAAAATTAGAATGTGATGGGTTATCAGGAAACATTGTAATAGATTTATTCGCGAATTATCCCCCAGACACACACACATATATATATATATATACACTCACACACACGCAAATGAAAATTTATTTAAGGCTTATATAAATAGATATCTCAGTCTTACATAGTGAGTGTCTTGAAAAAAAGGTCACTGACTTCTTTGATTGGAGCATATTGTAAAGGGCACTGACCTGAGATGGTCACTAAGTATCTAACTATTTATGTTCAACAGGATAACCCAGACGCAAAACTGGAAGATTTAGAGAGAACTGGTTTGGATGAAGAGCCGACACAGGTGCAGCTCAGGTGTGTAGTGTCATGTGTGATTCTGTGTCAGTAAATATTGTAAAACTTGTGAGGCCTGTTATCCATCCCCATGTTTGAGTTGACCAACTTCTTGTTCCTAGTGTTTACAAGCTGTCAACTCTAGTGGAATGAGTTCTGGTTGTTCATCCACTTTTGGATTTGGGTCTTGTTCCAGAACTGGAGTTTTGTGTGCACATCCTTTTGACAGAGATGGCTTATTTGTGTGCAGACTTTTGGTTCATCCGACTTTGAAGGAAACATTTCCAGTTAGCTATCAAGGCCTGTTCTTCCTCCTCCTACCTTTCCCTTTCAATGAAGGCTCAAAACTCACACCAGGACTAGAGCTTGTTGATTGTATTAGTTACTGAGATGTTAGACAGTTAGCAACAGTAGCTTGTGCACTGTAATTAGTTGTAGCTTGTTGATTGTATTAGTTACTGAGATGTTAGACAGTTAGCAACATTAGCTTGTGCACTGTAATTAGTTGTAGCTTGTTGATTGTATTAGTTACTGAGATGTTAGACAGTTAGCAACAGTAGCTTGTGCACTGTAATTAGTTGTAGCATTGTAGTTACTTTTAGACAGTTAGCAACAGAAGCTTGTGCACTGTAATTAGTTGTAGCTTGTTGATTGTATTAGTTACTGAGATGTTAGACAGTTAGCAACAGAAGCTTAGCTTAGTTGTACTGTAGTTACTGAGTTGCAACATACTGCTTGTTGATTGTATTAGTTACTGAGATGTTAGACAGTTAGCAACAGTAGCTTGTGCACTGTAATTAGTTGTAGCTTGTTGATTGTATTAGTTACTGAGATGTTAGACAGTTAGCAACAGTAGCTTTTGCACTGTAATTAGTTGTAGCTTGTTGATTGTATTAGTTACTGAGATGTTAGACAGTTAGCAACAGTACCTTGTGCACTGTAATTAGTTGTAGCTTGTTGATTGTATTAGTTACTGAGATGTTAGACAGTTAGCAACAGAAGCTTGTGCACTGTAATTAGTTGTAGCTTGTTGATTGTATTAGTTACTGAGATGATAGATTGTTAGCAACAGAAGCTTGTGCACTGTAATTAGTTGTAGCTTGTTGATTGTATTAGTTACTGAGATGTTAGATTGTTAGCAACAGAAGCTTGTGCACTGTAATTAGTTGTAGCTTGTTGATTGTATTAGTTACTGAGATGTTAGTCAGCACCCCCGTATGGGTTCCGGGGCCCCATTGTGGGGAAAACAAGAATCGACCCACTGCCTCCCCAAAAGCATGTCGTAAGAGTCGACTAATTGGGGAGCTTCCTTTGAAGTCGGAGTGCATCTGCCTGGAGAGGCAAGGAACCAACAGTCTGTATTCAAGAGAATGAGATCAGTCAAACTGATGCACACGCAACACTCAGGTTCTGGAGAAGGACTGCAGTTCAGTAGTGGACGAGCAACCAAAACTTTCGCCAGAGTTTACAGCTGGTGAACGCGAAGAAGAAGCAGAAGAAGATTGTCAGCAACAGTAGCTTGTGCACTCTAATCAGCTGTAGCTTGTTGATTGTAGCAGGTACTGAGATCTTAGTTAGCAACAGTAGTGTTAGATTGTCAGCAACAGTAGCTTGTGCACTCTAATCAGCTGTAGCTTGTTGATTGTAGCAGGTACTGAGATCTTAGTTAGCAACAGTAGTGTTAGATTGTCAGCAACAGTAGCTTGTGCACTCTAATCAGCTGTAGCTTGTTGATTCAGGTATGATGATGCCTACCAGTATCAGAACATCTTTGGCCCCCTTGTCAAGCTGGAAGCAGACTATGATAAAAGACTGAAGGAGTCGCAGACGCAGGACAACATTGTTGTTCGATGGGACACTGGTCTCAACAAGAAACGCATTGCCTATTTTTGTCTGTCCAAGGCTAATGATGGTAAGGCAGTTACATAGTTTCAGAAATGTTAAACCTTAGATCTCCTAGCATGCCAGTTGTAGTCTGCAAGAAATGTAAGTATGAAAATCTTTCTTTCTGGCCATCTCTCCCCTCCAGGATATTCAGCCTATGAGCTGCGTGTGAGCTGGTGAAATACCTTTTGTAATAATTCTACAATTGTATAGTAGCCACCTTATTGTGCCATCGACGATGACAAACTGCATTTCTGGTGGCGACTGTTTGCTTTGGCACCTCTAGCAGCTGAAATATGCATTTACTGGGTGTGCATATTTCTGGATTGTCCTGGGACTAATTGTCTGTTCAAATGCAACAGTGAGGGACATTTCATTTGATTTTCTCTGGTACAGGAACGGAGCAGGTGTGGGGAAATCTGATTGCAGTAAGTTGAAACCTCGACTGAAACTGTGACTAATCCAGCATATGATCTGGTAGTTACTTTAGTGAGTCTGGGGCAAGACCTAGTGCTGGCTGACATAAATATTTCTGCCTCTGCTCAGGACTGAACCTGGTTGGTTGGCTGACTTTGCAAGCGAACTTTGTAACCAGGTCATAGCAGTTGCATTCTTGATGAGTGAAAGCCTGATTCCATGCTGGGCTGTTTGATTTTATTGATCAGTGAGAGAATTAGGATTCTTGTTATACCTGACTTGTCTGTAGTTTACCTGGCCATGTCTGTTATTGGAGTCTTCCTGTGAACTGGCTTAGATGCTTGGCTATATGTTTGGGCTGGTACTATGCTTATCCAGAGAGATGAGTAATAATAACATTGATTTTTTCCACAGAAATGAAACTGATGCACGGTGACGAGCTCAAACTTCGTTACGCTGGAGAGCTGCAGAAACCTTGGTCCAGCGTTGGCCATGTCATCAAAATCCCAGACAGTATCCTTTTTTTTCCCTAGTTGCTGACCCAGGCAAGCAGATGTGTGGTCTTTTTTCTCATCTCTGAAGTGACAAGTTTCCAGTCTTGTTTTTCAATGTTAGGGGATTTGCAAGCTTGCTCCAAAACACAGATTTACTTTGGCTTAACAAGCCTGGAGACTTCGGTTCAAGTTCACATAAAATATTTGTTGTGTGTTGCTGATGCTGCTTAATCAATTATAGTCTTTGGGGGAAGACTGGGTTCTGTGTTCAGCAGTTTAATAGCAGATATAATTTAATCTGAGTGAGAGTGGATTGCGGGTACCATCAGTGCAGATTTCCTTTATGTGAGAGGGAGTAATTGCATTTAGTATGTCTGTGATCTGAGAATGAGTAATTGTAATTAATATGTTCTTGATCTGAGAATGAGTAATTGTAATTAATATGTCCTTGATCTGAGAATGAGTAATTGTAATTAATATGTCCTTGATCTGAGAGTGAGTAATTGTAATTAATATGTTCTTGATCTGAGAATGAGTAATTGTAATTAATATGTCCTTGATCTGAGAGTGAGTAATTGTAATTAATATGTTCTTGATCTGAGAATGAGTAATTGTAATTAATATGTCCTTGATCTGAGAATGAGTAATTGTAATTAATATGTCCTTGATCTGAGAGTGAGTAATTGTAATTAATATGTTCTTGATCTGAGAATGAGTAATTGTAATTAATATGTTCTTGATCTGAGAATGAGTAATTGTAATTAATATGTCCTTGATCTGAGAGTGAATAATTGTAATTAATATGTTCTTGATCTGAGAATGAGTAATTGTAATTAATATGTTCTTGATCTGAGAATGAGTACTTGTAGTTAATATGTCCTTGATCTGAGAGTGAGTAATTGTAGTTAATATGTCCTTGATCTGAGAGTGAGTAATTGTAGTGAGGATGTCTGTGATCTGAGAGTGAGTAATTGCAGTGAGGATGTCTGTGATCTGAGAGTGAGTAATTGTAGTGAGGATGTCTGTGATCTGAGAGTGAGTAATTGCAGTGAGGATGTCTGTGATCTGAGAGTGAGTAATTGTAGTGAGGATGTCTGTGATCTGAGAGTGAGTAATTGTAGTGAGGATGTCTGTGATCTGAGAGTGAGTAATTGTAGTGAGGATGTCTGTGATCTGAGAGTGAGTAATTGTAGTTAATATGTCCTTGATCTGAGAGTGAGTAATTGTAGTGAGGATGTCTGTGATCTGAGAGTGAGTAATTGTAGTGAGGATGTCTGTGATCTGAGAGTGAGTAATTGTAGTGAGGATGTCTGTGATCTGAGAGTGAGTAATTGTAGTTAATATGTCCTTGATCTGAGAGTGAGTAATTGTAGTGAGGATGTCTGTGATCTGAGAGTGAGTAATTGCAGTGAGGATGTCTGTGATCTGAGAGTGAGTAATTGTAGTGAGGATGTCTGTGATCTGAGAGTGAGTAATTGTAGTGAGGATGTCTGTGATCTGAGAGTGAGTAATTGTAGTGAGGATGTCTGTGATCTGAGAGTGAGTAATTGTAGTGGGGATGTCTGTGATCTGAGAGTGAGTAATTGTAGTGAGTATGTCTGTGATCTGAGAGTGAGTAATTGTAGTGAGGATGTCTGTGATCTGAGAGTGAGTAATTGTAGTGAGGATGTCTGTGATCTGAGAGTGAGTAATTGCAGTGAGGATGTCTGTGATCTGAGAGTGAGTAACTGCATGAGGATATCTATAATCTGAGAATAATTACAATGAGAATATCTATGATCTGAGAATAATTGCAATGAGGATGTCTGTGATCTGAGAGAAGACTGAATGTGCCAGCAGTAAGGATATAATTACAGGTCCCTGTTCTCACTATCATACTAGCCCCAACAACAATGAGCAGATGGACACAAAGAGTTTGGGAGAACTTGTCTATCAGGTTTCTGTTCTCAGCACTCTTCTTTATGGCAGTGAAACTTGGTCAACCTGTCTGCACCAGGGGAGATAGCTAAATAACTTTCACATGCGATGCCTAAGAAGAATACATGGCATTAAGTGGCAGGACAAAATCACAAACACTGTGGTATTGGAAAGAACAGGTACTACAAGTCTTTTCCATGCTCAATCTACGAAGGTTCCAGTGGCTGGGTCACACCTGAAGAATGAAGGATGGCAGAGTCCCTAAGGACATCCTTTATGGTGAATTAAAGACAGGAAGTCGATGCCGACCTCTACCTTTACTGCGGCATAAAGATGTGTGCAAGCAGAAAATGAATGATACAGGTATTGAGGTGGACCCATGGGAACAAAATGCCATAGACCGTGTTGTGTGGAAAGGGCATATCGGGAAGGAAATGAGAGTGAAGGAAGAAATGATTGCGGAAAGGATGAGAGCTAAGCGTCTAAAAAGAAACAGATTAAACACAAATGTTGACAAAAACTGTCCTCAAATCCCGTGCTGTCATTGTGGAAGACTTTTCTTGACACAGGGGGGTCTTGCTAGTAACACTCACCATCGCCATGGGATGTGAGTCCCAATCCTCTTCATAGCGCAATATAACACTATTGTCTGGAAAGACAGAAAGGTACCAATCAATCAATCAGATCAATTACCCGCATTTACTTCCAAAGAAATTTCCTGGTACCAATTATAGGAACTGAAATAGTTGTACACTTTGGGGGAATTTGAACCTACAACCGCCAGACAAAGCTAGCAGAGATTGTATCTCCTGGTAGTGTGTAATTACATTAAACTGCATCATTAAAATAATCCTGGACAATTAATAAACAAGTGTTTATTTGTGGAGAGACATCGCCTATGCCAGTTGCCAAGGCGATTGAAGGTGATAATTGAGGCTTGTTTGTGTGAGCATTTCCAGCTCTTTAAGCAGTCAGGTTTGAAAAGCAGTGAAGTTTTGGTTTTCTGGAGTCACATAATGAATGTTAATGATGAGAATAAAGATAGAGTTGTGTTGTGATATGTTGTAATGTCGTTAGAGCTCTTAACCCGTTGCAGACCACAGTGATGAGGTTGCCATCGAACTCAGGTAAGTTCAGCCATGTTGTGTCCCAGCTGTAGGAAGGCACAGCTACAGAGTGTTATTGTATTTGACACGAGGGAATGTATCGCATATCTGACTGTCTAGGGTTACTGTCGACTATCCAAGACTATTTGGATTCCCTACTGGAGAGCGCTCAGATAACACAGTTTACATCGTACCACCAACACTAGACTAACATTGTCAACAACAGAACGTTAAAAGTCATCTCTATAATAGTGCATCAGTCCCTTTATTGTACAAACATCATGACAAAGATGAATTGGTGATTGTGGAACTCCTGTCCGTCTGCTATTCTCAAATACAAATTGGTATACTTCCAAGGCCACTTCACTTCAAAGAGTGACATATAGCCTGGACTTGACCTGTGTTCACAAAATCCAAAAGCATTTGGCATATGGGCCCACTCCTAGGGTCACCATTAACCATATTAACACCTTCGGCCTCTGGGGTAACCACTAGCCTATAATAACCTATTTAGCTGTGTGCCTACTCCTGAGGTCACAGATAGCCTAAAACAGCAGTTATTGTCTTATAAGCCGGGCTGACCTGCGGGGAAGCTGCTATCACAAGACCTGCAGCCATTGGCACTTAGCACACTGAGAAGCCAAAAAAGCCACTGGTCAGATAGATAAAGTATCAGGATCTCACAGTCTTGTCTCCACTAAATACAGTCAGTCAGATCAATCCAAATAACACACCAAATTCCAGTGAACTTTCCAAACTCTCCAACAGAATAAAATAGTACACATATTTATGAATAAAGGTCACACAAGTCTGCACTGTCTCACTGACCGAGAGGCACTGAAGTGGCCACAGGTTAACCTTCAACGGCTGGCCAGGCTTGGTTCTTACAATACCTGTGGAGCCGCTGTCACCCGCTATTCTTGAGAAACACTTGTCTCACAACTTCAAGCAGCATGGACCTTTTGCACTCGTCTCTGAAACTATCATGATCTAGCGCCTTTACAATTGTTAAAGGCAATTACACCTCTGACCTCTGGTGATCTTAAATAGCCATGAGTTCAGCATATGATGGTATGATCAGCCTTGCTATATCCCAACTGTAAGTAGGCATGTCTACAGACAAGTATGTTCAGCTGTATTCTGTCCCAGCTGTAGGTAGGCTTGGCTAAGGCCAGGTATGGTATGTTCAGCTGTATTCTGTCCCAGCTGTAGGTAGGCATGAATAAGACCAGGTATGTTCATCAGCATTGTGTCCCGGCTGTAGGTAGGTATGGCGACAACCAGGTATGTTCATCAGCATTGTGTCCCGGCTGTAGGTAGGTATGGCGACAACCAGATATGTTCAGCCAAGTTGTGTCCCAGCTGAAAGTATGCATAACTACAGACAGGTATGGTCAGCCATTTTGTGTCCCAGCTGAAGGTAGGCATGGATACGGCCAGGTATGTTCAGCTGCATTGTGTCTCAGCTGTAGGTAGGCATGGATACGGCCAGGTATGTTCAGCTGTGTTGTGTCTCAGCTGTAGGTAGGCATGTCATTTAGGCAAGTCATTGCAGGGAAGAAGATATTCTGGAGAGTGCTTGCTATTGTAACTGATAGTGTCAGTTGTGTGTTTAAGAGTTTAGATGGTGGACAAACTGTTTATTGACTTCATGTCTCTGTAATAGATTATTCTTTCTGGGCACTGTGGTGGGGTTGTTGGCAGTCAGCTGTCTGGTACCTTTCCGTCTTTCCAGATAGTTTTATGTTGCGCTTTGAGGAGACATGGGACTTACAACCCACGGCAGTAGCAGTTGTGTGACTAGGAAGATCCGCTCACGTTGAGAAAAGTCTTCCACAATTATAGCATGGGATTTCAGGACCGTTGTTGTCAACATGTGTGTTAAGTCTGCTTCTTCAACTGACATGCGAATTCATAGAGGTACAGCCCAGCTGATGATCTGACCTAATTATACAAACTCAATGCTAAGAAAAAGATGCATCCACTTTGCTTCAGAGCTGGATAAGGATAGGGAGAGCTCTGCATCACGGAGTTGGAAATTCAGTATGAGGTTAAAAGGAGTCTCTACACCAACCTCTCTGATTGATGCCGATCCATTTGAGGGTACAAACTTTTGAAACACAATGTATTTGTCTGCAGAGTTGAGAGGGTTTGCTGACTGACCGGAACAACAAGGTCCAGAAACTGTCATGTCACATGTGATCATTCTTCTTGTTGTGTTTCTGTTTGTGAAGTGGTCATGTTGAACTGTTGCCTGTCCTGTAGAATGCAGTCTGCACTGAAGACATTTGCCGTCGATGAGACCTCTGTATGGGGCTACATCTACCACAAGCTGCTGGGTCACGAAGTAGAAGACATTGCACTCAAGTGCACACTTCCCAAACGATTCTCTGCTCCCGGCCTCCCAGAGCTGAACCACTCGCAGGTGTATGCAGTCAAAACTGTTCTGCAGAGACCTCTCAGCCTCATTCAGGTCAGTGTTTTTTTTTTTTTTCAGCCTCATTCAGGTGTTACCTATTTAGTTCTCTAATTCTTCTTGCAGCCTTATTTATTCTGCTGTCTGTTCAATATCACATTTGTCTGCCCCATTAATGCTCACTGCTGCCTACCTACCTTCCATTAACCCATGCATGTTCCTTACAGTGTCAACTGCCTATGATCTTCAGTGACAGCCAGTTTGTCTATTTTACCCCCATGTTTATTTAATTTTACCTATATGCCTTCCTATGACCTTTGTGCCTTGTTACCTATGTCATCACCATTTTTCTATCATGCTGATAAGTATCACATAGGTCTCACCATCAAGTCCTCTGTTCAGTCCTGCCCTGTGTTACCTGTCTCACCATCAAGTCCTCCATTTAGTCATGCCCTGTGTTCCTGTCTCACCATCAAGTCCTCCATTTAGTCCTGCCCTGTGTTACCTGTCTCACCATTAAGTCCTCTATTCAGTCCTGCCCTGTGTTACCTGTCTCACCATCAAGTCCTCCATTTAGTCCTGCCCTGTGTTACCTGTCTCACCATCAAGTCCTCTATTCAGTCCTGCCTTGTGTTACCTGTCTCACCATCGAGTCCTCTGTTCAGTCCTGCCCTGTGTAATCCTTTTAATGAAACCCAGCCCAGTACCCCTGGCCTCTTTCAGGTAACCTTCATTTTGAGATTTGGTGTCTGTGTGCCTTTCTTATAAGTCAGCTTGTCTAACGCTGCCATCAGCTGTTCCCATCACTCTTGACCTCTCTCAGTCATGCTCATCTTGGTGTTTGTTGTCCGTTAGCTTGTCTAATGCTGCCATCAGCTGTTCCCATCACCCCTGACCTCTCTCAGTCATGCTCATCTTGGTGTTTGTTGTCCGTTAGCTTGTCTAATGCTGCCATCAACTGTTCCCATCACCCTTGACCTCTCTCAGTCATGCTCATCTTGGTGTTTGTTGTCCGTTAGCTTGTCTAATGCTGCCATCAACTGTTCCCATCACCCTTGACCTCTCTGAGTTATGCTAATCTTGGGGTTTGTTGTCTGTGAGCTTGGCTAATGCTGCCATCAAACTGTTCCTAGGGCCCCCCAGGAACTGGCAAGACTGTGACCTCTGCCACGGTGGTCTACCACCTGGTGAAGCAGAACAATGGCCCTGTGCTGGTGTGTGCCCCGTCCAACATCGCAGTCGACCAGCTGACGGAGAAGATCCACAAGACAGGTCTCAAGGTCAGTCGACAAGTAGCTGCCTGCGGGCTTTGTTTGAAATGACTCTTTAACTGGCTCTTGTAATGCTGTAGTAACGCTTGTACAATTAATGGGAATTATTTTTTCATTATTGTATCGTTACTTATGTTTGTGACTATAAAAGACTGAGATATGAAGTCCAGAGAATCTCGATGTTTCTGTTGTTGGCTTTCCACCGTTTGTCTTCTCTTTCTCCTTCTCTCTCTTTCTCCTTCTCTTTCTCTGTGTCTCTTGCTTGAACATCAAGGTCTCCCTGTCTGATATACTACTGTGCTTTCCTTCTGTGTCTCTTGCTTGAACATCAAGGTCTCCCTGTCTGATATACTACTGTGCTTCCCTTCTGTGTCTGTCTCTGTTTCTAGTGCCCACAGGTCTGTTCTATGTGTAGGAGACAGTTTTAATCAATCGTCAGAATACACTATCATTATTGCGTGCTAGAAAAATCTATGCTCGGAATATCTTCTTAAATGTCTGTAGTTGTGTAATGGCTGCTCACACACTCCCAAATTGTAAGATTAAACACAAGTTCCAGTAATTAGGCAGTTAACAGATACCCTAGTAGTTAAACAACACAAACAAATAGTTTAGATAGCACACCTGCCAAAGATTGAAGAAAGATGAACAATGGCTCCAGTAGTTTCAAGATTAACACACACCTCAGTAAACTATAAACACATGCCTTAGTGATTGAAAGATAACACATGGCCCTTTGATTGAAAGGTAACACATAACACTCCTCAGTAATTGAACAATGAACCAGTGCCCCGGTGATTGCAAGATAACACTTAACACAAAACTCAGTAATTGAACTGTAAACACTTGCCTCAGTGACTGAAAGATAGCACATTTACCCTAACAGTGTAGATTCACTCAGTAACTAAGTCACACTGCAGTTGAAAGCCTGTGCTCATTTTCTGTTAGTAGCCATTGTTGACTGTGAAGATCTGTGTTTGGTATTAGTAGCCATTGTTGACTGTGAAGATCTGTCTTTGGTATTAGTAGCCATTGTTGACTGAAGATCTGTGTCTTTGGTATTAGTAGCCATTGTTGACTGAAGATCTGTGTCTTTGGTATTAGTAGCCATTGTTGACTGAAGATCTGTGTCTTTGGTATTAGTAGCCATTGTTGACTGTGAAGATCTGTGTCTTTGGTATTAGTAGCCATTGTTGACTGTGAAGATCTGTGTTTGGTATTAGTAGCCATTGTTGACTGTGAAGATCTGTGTTTGGTATTAGTAGCCATTGTTGACTGTGAAGATCGTCTTTGGTATTAGTAGCCATTGTTGACTGTGAAGATCTGTGTCTTTGGTATTAGTAGCCATTGTTGACTGTGAAGATCTGTGTCTTTGGTATTAGTAGCCATTGTTGACTGAAGATCTGTGTCTTTGGTATTAGTAGCCATTGTTGACTGTGAAGATCTGTGTCTTTGGTTTTAGTAGCCATTGTTGACTGTGAAGATCTGTCTGTTTGGTATTAGTAGCCATTGTTGACTGTGAAGATCTGTGTTTTGGTATTAGTAGCCATTGTTTGACTGTGAAGATCTCCCTTTGGTATTAGTAGCCATTGTTTCCTGTGAAGTCTGTGTCTTGAACATTAGTAGCCATTGTTGACTGTGAAGATCTGTGTCTTTGGTATTAGTAGCCATTGTTGACTGTGAAGATCTGTGTCTTTGGTATTAGTAGCCATTGTTGACTGTGAAGATCTGTGTTTGGTATTAGTAGCCATTGTTGACTGTGAAGATCTGTCTTTGGTATTAGTAGCCATTGTTGACTGTGAAGATCTGTGTTTGGTATTAGTAGCCATTGTTGACTGTGAAGATCTGTCTTTGGTATTAGTAGCCATTGTTGACTGTGAAGATCTGTGTCTTTGGTATTAGTAGCCATTGTTGACTGTGAAGATCTGTGTCTTTGGTATTAGTAGCCATTGTTGACTGTGAAGATCTGTGTTTGGTATTAGTAGCCATTGTTGACTGTGAAAATCTGTGACTTTGGTATTAGTAGCCATTGTTGACTGTGAAGATCTGTCTTTGGTATTAGTAGCCATTGTTGAGTGTGAAGATATGTGTCTTTGGTATTAGTAGCCATTGTTGACTGTGAAGGTCTGTTTCTTTGGTATTAGTAGCCATTGTTGACTGTGAAGTAGGGCTGTACCGAATATTCGCTTCGGGGCCGAATATTGGACCTATTGACTATTCGGTATTCGGCCGAATAGTTGCGGTCGGGCCGAATACGAATAGTAGTTACCTTACACCCGCTTTTTCAGACACGGCCTTAATGCCGACAACATGGAACGATTGGTTTAGTTTTAGTTGAAAGCTAATGCAGCTTTCATGCATTAACTAAGCTGTCAGTGAAAATTTCCAAGTTTAGTTTCTTGTTATAATACTTAGGATTCTTTCATTCCTAGTTATTAGTTACCACAGACTGACTGAAGGATGCAAAACATAAAATGTTTTTAAATGTTTACTATTCTTTACGAATATTAACTAGACATGGATATGAAAATCAAACGAACGGAAACATATAAGTACTTGGGTGCAGACTTCAACTGCTCCAACATGCTGAGAGAAGAAATACAATCTAAAAATAAAGTGTTCTATGCCCTTCAACATCTGCTAAAGTCAAAGTGTCTTGTCTCGCAACATCAAGATCAAAATATATAAAACGTTGATAAGACCAGTCGTTTTGTATGGCTCTGAAACTTGAAGCAGAAATAAAAGAGATGAGACCTTATTACAGCTTTTCGAAAACAGTCTTAAGACAAATCTTTGGACCCATCAAAGATGCTAACAGCAAGGAATGGAGAGTGAGAAGCAACAACGTAAAGATCATCTGTTTAAAGTAGCCATTGTTCACCGGCAAGATCTGTGCTTGGTATTAGTAAAATGGTTGGTGCATAAGATCTGAATTTCAGATTACAGAGAAGTAAAACTGTATACATCTGTGAGAGGAATGGTAGTAGCCACAAGGCAGACTGTAAAAATCTTCGAGGGATATTGTCCATTGTTGACTGCAAAGAACTGGTGTCACAAATTAGTAGAATTGTTGAAGGCCAAGCCTGTGAGAGATATTATGGAGATGATGATATGTGCAGCTGTAAACCTTAAGGGCTCAGAATGCTAAAGAAGAAGATGACTATTCTGTGCTTCTTTATGCGAAGTAGAAGTTCAGCGTACATTTGACATTATGAATTTTTTTTTGTGAAATCTGTTTTTTATTCAGCCATTCGTTGACTGTGAAGTTCTGTCCTTTGTTATTAGTATTCGGTTGAATGTGAAAATCACTTTTCGTATAGTAGCCATACTGTGAAGATCTGTGTCTTTGGTATTAGTAGCCATTGTTGACTGTGAAGATCTGTGTCTTTAGTATTAGTAGCCATTGTTGACTGTGAAGATCTGTGTCTTTGGTATTAGTAGCCATTGTTGACTGAAGATCTGTGTTTGATATTAGTAGCCATTGTTGACTGTGAAGATCTGTGTCTTTGGTATTTGTAGCCATTGTTGACTGTGAAGATCTGTGTCTTTGGTATTAGTAGCCATTGTTGACTGAAGATCTGTGTCTTTGGTATTAGTAGCCATTGTTGACTGTGAAGATCTGTGTCTTTGGTATTAGTAGCCATTGTTGACTGAAGATCTGTGTCTTTGGTATTAGTAGCCATTGTTGACTGTGAAGATCTGTGTCTTTGGTATTAGTAGCCATTGTTGACTGTGAAGATCTGTGTCTTTGGTATTAGTAGCCATTGTTGACTGTGAAGATCTGTGTCTTTAGTATTTGTAGTCATTGTTGACTGTGAAGATCTGTGTTTGGTATTAGTAGCCATTGTTGACTGAAGATCTGTGTTTGGTATTAGTAGCCATTGTTGACTGAAGATCTGTGTTTGGTATTAGTAGCCATTGTTGACTGAAGATCTGTGTTTGGTATTAGTAGCCATTGTTGACTGTGAAGATCTGTGTTTGGTATTAGTAGCCATTTTTGACTGTGAAGATCTGTGTTTGGTATTAGTAGCCATTGTTGACTGAAGATCTGTGTTTGATATTAGTAGCCATTGTTGACTGAAGATCTGTGTTTGATATTAGTAGCCATTGTTGACTGTGAAGATCTGTGTCTTTGGTATTAGTAGCCATTGTTGACTGTGAAGATCTGTGACTTTGGTATTAGTAGCCATTGTTGACTGTGAAGATCTGTGTGTTTGGTATTTGTAGCCATTGTTGACTGAAGATCTGTGTTTGGTATTAGTAGCCATTGTTGACTGTGAAGATCTGTGTCTTTGGTATTAGTAGCCATTGTTGACTGAAGATCTGTGTCTTTGGTATTAGTAGCCATTGTTGACTGTGAAGATCTGTGTGTTTGGTATTTGTAGCCATTGTTGACTGAAGATCTGTGTTTGGTATTAGTAGCCATTGTTGACTGTGAAGATCTGTGTCTTTGGTATTAGTAGCCATTGTTGACTGTGAAGATCTGTGTCTTTGGTATTAGTAGCCATTGTTGACTGTGAAGGCCTGAAGCACTAATTAAGTTTCCATGAAAGAAGAGATTCTTTAATAACTTGTGTGTGTGTGCGTCTGCCAGGTTGTTCGTCTGTGTGCCAAGTCCAGAGAAGCCATAGATTCGCCGGTGTCCTTCCTGGCCCTGCATAACCAGATACGGAGTCTGGACACGTAAGAACCTTATGTATATCCTTCATCTCATGAGCTCATCTACTTTCGTATTTCCATAGATCTTTCAGAACAGTAGAAATAAACTCATCATCATGTTTAAAAATGCTCAGCGATCTGGTTGAACACACGATTTCACGTCTGCAATATTCATTTTTTTTTTTCATGCAGTATTCATGGTTTTTTGTTTGTTTCATGCAGTATTCATTATTTTTTTTTTCATGCAGTATTCATGTTTTTTTTTTTTTTCATGCAGTATTCATGGTTTTTTTTTCATGCAGTATTCATGGTTTTTTTTTTTCATGCAGTATTCATGGTTTTTTTTTAGTAGCATTGTTCATGGTCTTTTTTTTTTCATGCAGTATTCATGGTTTTTTTTTTCATGCAGTATTCATGGGTTTTTTTTTTCATGCAGTATTCATGTTTTTTTTTCATGCAGTATTCATGTTTTTTTTAATGCAGTATTCATTTTTTTTTTTAATGCAGTATTCATGGTTTTTTTTTTTTTTTCATGCAGTACTCATGGTTTTTTTTTTCATGCAGTATTCATGGTTGTTTTTTTCATGCAGTATTCATGTTTTTTTTTTTTTCATGCAGTATTCATGGTTTTTTTTTCATGCAGTATTCATGGTTTTTTTTTTCATGCAGTATTCATGGTTTTTTTTTCATGCAGTATTCATGGTTTTTTTTTTTCATGCAGTATTCATGGTTTTTTTTTTTGTGTGCAGTATTCATGGTTTTTTTTTCATGCAGTATTCATTCGCCGGTTTTTTTCCTGGCATGCAGTATACACACGTTTTTTTTTTTTCATGCAGTATTCATGGATTTTTTTTTCCATGCAGTAATAAACTTCATCATGTTTTTTTTTTTTCCATGCAGTATTCATGTTTTTTTTTTTTCATGCAGTATTCATGGTTTTTTTTTCATGCAGTATTCATGCATGTTTTTTTTTTTTTCATGCAGTATTCATGGTTTTTCTCACATGCAGTATTCATGCATGTTTTTTTTTTCCATGCAGTATTTATGGTTTTTTTTCATGCAGTATTCATGGTTTTTTTTTTTTCATGCAGTATTCATGGTTTTTTTTTCATGCAGTATTCATGGTTTTTTTTTTCCATGCAGTAATCATGGTTTTTTTTTTCATGCAGTATTCATGCCTGGTTTTTTTTTTCATGCAGTATTCATGCCTGGTTTTTTTTTTTCATGCAGTATTATTCATGTTTTTTTTTTTTCATGCAGTATTCATGCCTGTTTTTTTTTTTTTTTTAGTTGCCACTGGTAACCTTTTGCATATCAGAGGTCGGACCTCAAGTCACACGAAATGTACTTGTATGCAACTGAAGTCACATAATTGACTTTCGACTCGACTTGGTATTTTATCCATTGACTTGACTTTTTTCTTAGACGAATTGGTGTGGCTCATTGGCCGGCCACTGTGAAGTTTGGTGATTAGTGGCACAGTTTGAGATGCCTTCATATTCGACTTCTTCCACTTTAAAATATAGTTCAGTGAGTTTTTCGCACAGCCATTTCCAGTTTAGTATTTTCATCAAATTTTTATATTTTTTTAAATTCTATGCACGACTTGCGAATGACTGAAAAAATTAGGTGATATGACTCAGGACTTGACTTGGGACTATTCTTGGTAATCTGAAATTTTACTTGACATTTGGTGGCTATGACCAGGCACTTGGTGGCAATGACCTGGCACTTGGTGGCTATGACCAGGCAATCTTTTGGCAATGACCTAGCAATCTTTTGGCAATGACCTGGCACTTGGTGGCAGTGACCTGGCACTTGGTGGCAGTGACCTGGCACTTGGTGGCAATGACCTGGCACTTGGTGGCAATGACCTGGCACTTGGTGGCAATGACCTGGCACTTGGTGGCAATGACCTGGCACTTGGTGGCAATGACCTGGCACTTAGTGGCAATGACCTGGCACTTGGTGGCAATGACCTGGCACTTGGTGGCAATGACCTGGCACTTGGTGGCAATGACCTGGCACTTGGTGGCAATGACCTGGCACTTGGTGGCAATGACCTGGCACTTGGTGGCAATGACCTGGCCCTTGGTGGCAATGACCTGGCAATCTTTTGGCAATGACCTGGCAATCTTTTGGCAATGACCTGGCACTTGGTGGCAATGACCTGGCCCTTGGTGGCAATGAGCTAGCACTTGGTGGCAATGACTTGCCACTTGACTTGGACTGCTACCAACTGGTCTTGTGCTTTCAGTGTCGTACTTCTAGTCTTGATTTTAGTCTTAGTCAAGGTTTTAAGTTTTGCATTATGGTCAGCCCATACTTTTAGACTGACTTCAAAGGGATTGAAATCACTTTCACTGCATTTATTAAGGCTGTCCCTTGATACTTGTTTTATCCTGAGTTGACATGGAAGCCCAAGTTGATTTTTTATTTTATTCCTGCCCTAGTAAGGATTTGTATGCATGGCTGTTGGGCAGGCATTTTTTGTAATCTGCAATAGCAGCTCATCTGACATGTAAGCATATAAGAATGAAATTGCTTAATTGTACATTTCTATGAAGTAAAATATCCGTATGAGATCATACGCTTTGTCAAATGAAAGTATTGGTTTAATGTTGTCATGTTGAACTGGTTTTCACTCGGCAGTGTTCCTGAGCTGAACAAGCTCCAACAGCTGAAAGATGAGACTGGAGAACTCTCCTCAGGTGACGAGAAAAGATACAGGTCGTTAAAGAAACAATGTGAGAAGGAACTGCTACAGGTAGGGATCCTCGCTGGGGATGGCAGACGTGTTACATTTTGTCACTATCTAGAGTTGTAGTGTTTATGGAGATGTGTTTAGCATCATGGCATGGAGGGAAATCATTGTCAGAAATTATTGGTTGTACATTAGATAAAAGGCCATGGATAGACGTGATGACGTACGTCACACACCCTGGAGAAGTAACAGTAATATTCTGACATTATTTTCTCATTAAAAATTAGAACATTGAAATGGCAGAAAGACCATGCCATTCCTAGCAAAGATGCAAGAATTTGGAAGCATTGGCATGTGTATTTTATTATATTCACTTTGTCTTGGATTGAAAAAATTTCTGGTAACTTTTAAAACATCTTGGAATTAAATCTGCCGTAGACAAGGAAAGCTTGAACACTTGAGCAGTGTTTTTGTTTATCATTGTGCAGTCCAAGATGGCTGGTGTTATGTAACTGTTGCTTTGTTTCAGGCTGCGGATGTCATTTGTTGCACCTGTGTGGGTGCAGGTGATCCACGTCTGGCCAGGCTGCAGTTCAGCTCTGTCCTCATTGATGAAAGCACACAAGCTACGGAGCCTGAGTGTATGATTCCTGTTGTCTTGGGATGCAGACAGGTAAGACAGCCGCCCTCATTTGATTGGACAGTATGCAACACTTTCACTGTAGATTGGCAGGTCAAGTGTGTCAACTTGATGAATATGTCCAAAGCAGGAAATCATTTGGGTTTCCTTGAGTAAGAAGTGGACATTAAATAATGCTACTCTGACCCTTCCCTGATGTCCAGTAACCTCATTAAGGAATGGTCTGGTTTTCATTCTCATGTGTGTAGTTGTATGTTGTTAATGAGTCCAAGGACACTAGAACCCCCTGTGCTGTTTGGCCACATAATACATAATAACACACACGTGTGTAGTGATACCACGTAATGTGTAGTAATACACTTGTTTCATTCCTTATACAATTATATGTTTATCTGGCTTTGGAAATGACAGTTTGCTGACGTCTGAGAGCTGTCCTCAATAGAGGGAATGATAGATAGTCTCAGGATGTGCGCAGACTGGCTTATTTCTGTTTCAGTGTTTGTTATCTGTGATAGAACTCAGTCACACATGGCAGGTGTCTTCTCTCCTCAAAGTCAGTGTCATGTCCTTTGGTAGTCTTCCATGCCATGATGTCAAACTGTCCAGCATCCGCACTCTGTCTCCCTCTTTTCCTTTTCCCCTGCAACCTTCCAGTTGTCGTGATGTACTCCAGTTTTCTCCTTTTCATGACATGACCCAAGAATTTCAACTATCTCTCCTGTGTCTGAGTGTCTCTCCTAAGGGGGGAGGGAGTTGTATGCTCTTGAGCCTGAATATTTAGGACAGCAAGGCAGGCTAGAGCAGTTGTCACAAACTATGGGTTCTAATTTTGCTTATAGAGAAAAATTTCCATCACCTTTCTGAGGATTTAAACTTTAAAAAAAGTCTCCCAAATAAGAGATTCATCTCCCAAAATAAGAGATTCACGTTATGATCACTCAGCCGGCCTTTCCTCCTTATGAAGACCTGGAAAAAAGGCTGAGCTCGGTCAGAAACAGCCGCCCCAGTAGATGAAGAACAGATGCCTGAGTAGATGAAGAACAGATGCCTGAGTAGATGAAGAACAGATGCCTGAGTAGATGAAGAACAGATGCCTGAGTAGATGAAGAACAGCTGCCCTAGTAGATGAAGAACAGCTGCCCTAGTAGATGAAGAACAGATGCCCTAGTAGATGAAGAACAGATGCCTGAGTAGATGAAGAACAGATGCCTGAGTAGATGAAGAACAGATGCCTGAGTAGATGAAGAACAGATGCCTGAGTAGATGAAGAACAGATGCCTGAGTAGATGAAGAACAGATGCCTGAGTAGATGAAGAACAGATGCCTGAGTAGATGAAGAACAGCTGCCCTAGTAGATGAAGAACAGCTGCCCTAGTAGATGAAGAACAGCTGCCCTAGTAGATGAAGAACAGATGCCCTAGTAGATGAATAACAGATGCCAGAGTAGATGAAGAACAGATGCCTGAGTAGATGAAGAACAGATGCCCTAGTAGATGAAGAACAGATGCCTGAGTAGATAACAGCCGCCCTAGTAGATAAAGAACAGATGCCCTTGTAAATGAAGAACAGATGCCTGAGTAGATGAACATATGCCTGGGTAGATGAAGAACAGCTGCCTGAGTAGATGAAGAACAGATGCCTGAGTAGATGAAGAACAGATGCCTGAGTAGATGAAGAACAGTTGCCTCAGTAGATGAAGAACAGCTGCCCTAGTAGATGAAGAACAGCTGCCCTAGTAGATGAAAAACAGCTGCCCTAGTAGATAAAAGACAGATGCCCCAGTAGATGAAAGACAGATGCCCCAGTAGATGAAAAACAGATGCCCGAGTAGATGAAAAACAGATACCTGAGTAGATGAAAAACAGCTGCCCTAGTAGATGAAGAACAGATGCCCGAGTAGATGAAGAACAGCTGCCCTAGTAGATGAAGAACAGATGCCCGAGTAGATGAAGAACAGCTGCCCTACTAGATAAAAAAACAGATGCCAGAGTAGATGAAGAACAGATGCCCGAGTAGATGAAGAACAGATGCCCGAGTAGATGAAGAACAGATGCCCGAGTAGATGAAGAACAGCTGCCCTACTAGATAAAAAACAGATGCCCGAGTAGATGAAGAACAGCTGCCCTAGTAGATGAAAAACAGATGCCCGAGTAGATGAAGAACAGCTGCCCTAGTAGATGAAAAACAGATGCCCGAGTAGATGAAGAACAGCTGCCCTAGTAGATGAAAAACAGATGCCCGAGTAGATGAAGAACAGCTGCCCTAGTAGATGAAAAACAGATGCCCGAGTAGATGAAAAACATGCCCGAGTAGATGAAGAACATCTGCCCTAGTAGATGAAAGACAGATGCCCGAGTAGATGAAGAAACAGACACCCCAGTAGATGAAGAAACAGACACCCCTGCAGATCAAGAATAGGCAAGAATAACTAAACATCCCTTAATGATTAATGTCACTAAATCCAGCAGATGGAGGTTGGTCTAGGCATGAACTTGGGTCTCTCTCCTAGACAGTTTTTGTTTGTGGGTTAAATAGACTGTTGAGCATGTATTCCAGGATTGTTTTCTCTTTCTCCCCCCCCCCCCCCCCCCCAACCCCGCCAACCCCACAGTAAAGAACTATAACTCACCGCATATCTTCCAAGACAGCAGTTGCAGGACAATAGGTACAGTCAAGTCTGGATAAGTAGAAGTCACAGGGACCTAAGACCTGTTTCTCTGTGACATCTCTAGTTGATCCTGTATTCATCTCACACCTGTGATAGATCACTTGTTTCTCTGTGACATCTTTAGTTAATCCTGTATTCATCTCACTCCTGTAAAAGATCACTTGTTTCTCTGTGACATCTCTAGTTGATCCTGTATTCATCTCACACCTGTGATAGATCACTTGTTTCTCTGTGACATCTCTAGTTGATCCTGTATTCATCTCACACCTGTGATAGATCACTTGTTTCTCTGTGACATCTCTAGTTGATCCTGTATTCATCTCACACCTGTGATAGATCACTTGTTTCTCTGTGACATCTCTAGTTGATCCTGTATTCATCTCACACCTGTGATAGATCACTTGTTTCTCTGTGACATCTCTAGTTGATCCTGTGATAGATCACTTGTTTCTCTGTGACATCTCTAGTTGATCCTGTATTCATCTCACACCTGTGATAGATCACTTGTTTCTCTGTGACATCTCTAGTTGATCCTGTATTCATCTCACACCTGTGATAGATCACTTGTTTCTCTGTGACATCTCTAGTTGATCCTGTGATAGATCACTTGTTTCTCTGTGACATCTCTAGTTGATCCTGTGATAGATCACTTGTTTCTCTGTGACATCTCTAGTTGATCCTGTGATAGATCACTTGTTTCTCTGTGACATCTCTAGTTGATCCTGTATTCATCTCACACCTGTGATAGATCACTTGTTTCTCTGTGACATCTCTAGTTGATCCTGTGATAGATCACTTGTTTCTCTGTGACATCTCTAGTTGATCCTGTATTCATCTCACACCTGTGATAGATCACTTGTTTCTCTGTGACATCTCTAGTTGATCCTGTGATAGATCACTTGTTTCTCTGTGACATCTCTAGTTGATCCTGTGATAGATCACTTGTTTCTCTGTGACATCTCTAGTTGATCCTGGTGGGGGACCACTGCCAGCTGGGGCCAGTAGTGATGTGCAAGAAAGCAGCCCGTGCCGGACTCTCCCAGTCTCTCTTTGAGAGGCTGGTCGTGCTGGGCATCCGACCCATCAGGCTTCAAGTCCAGTACCGCATGCACCCAGCTCTGAGCAACTTCCCATCCAACATCTTCTATGAGGGATCTCTGCAGAATGGAGTCACTGCTGGTGAGATCTCTTTCCTCTTTAGGTAGTTACTTTTTGATGTATTAACCTTGGTATATTTGATAGGTGAATGTGTCATCCACCACTGGCAAACATTTCCTAACCCATAAGAAGGTGATGGAGCACGCCAGTGAATGTACCACGTGCAGTGGTGTTATTTCTTGATTGATACATACATTCACTATCTCTCAGTCCTTAAGAAATAGAATAGGGGTTTTTGTGCTGAAATGCTAAAGAAAGATTCGCATTATATCTTGAACAAAGAAGAGGAGAAATATTCACATCTCAAAAGATCTGAACATCAAGGAAGATTGGCTAATAAACAGCATCCTTTCTCGAAAGCTGAAATATTTTGGTCATATCAAGCACCACAATGGATTGGAAAAAATTGTAGCAGAAGGCATGGTACCAGGAAGGACGGGCAGGGGTCAACTGAGACAAAGATGGGCACAGAATATAAATGACTCCTTGAGTATGAAAGTACACGAGGCGGGAGAACTGGCGAAAGACCGAGTTTCTTTCAGGCAGACTGATGAGAGCGACGTTCTGCAAAAGACCTGCTACATGATAATGATGACATACATTCATCCATTCATTACACATTTGTGAACATATGACTGTGTATAAGAGCCAAGCATCCCTTCTAGGTAAACACAGCATCACTCATGTGAACATGTTGTCCTATGTCAGCAGACATTCACTCATGTAAACATTGTCCTATGTCAGCAGACATTCACTCATGTAAACATGTTGTCCTATGTCAGCAGACATTCACTCATGTGAACATGTTGTCCTATGTCAGCAGACATTCACTCATGTGAACATATTGTCTTATGTCAGCAGACATTCACTCATGTGAACATGTTGTCCTATGTCAGCAGACATTCACTTATGTGAACATGTTGTCTTATGTCAGCAGACATTCACTCATGTAAACATTGTCCTATGTCAGCAGACATTCACTCTTTTTTGAACACAATTTCCCATGTTAGTAAACATTTATTCCTCCACGGTAAATACTTTTTCCCTTGTGACTGAAAGTGTCTTTATTTTCCCAATGGATTATTTGTTTAATTTATTAAGGGAATCATTTGGGAAATAGATTTTATCATCACCACTAGACAACAACAAAATAGCAGATTCAGGCACACAAATCAGCTTGTTCAACCTTTGCTATGATACTAAATTGTGTAGACACACTTGGGTGCTTTCTGAAACTGAACTGTGTAGACACACTCGGGTGCTGTCTGAAACTGAACTGTAGACACACTCTGGTGCTGTCTGATACTGAACTGTGTAGACACACTGGGTGCTCCCTGATACTGAACTGTGTAGACACACTCGGGTGCTGTCTGATACTGAACTGTGTAGACACACTCGGGTGCTGTCTGATACCGAACTGTGTAGACACACTCGGGTGCTGTCTGATACCGAACTGTGTAGACACACTCGGGTGCTGTCTGATACCGAACTGTGTAGACACACTCAGATGCTGTCTGATACCGAACTGTGTAGACACACTCGGGTACTGTCTGATACTGAACTGTGTAGACACACTCGGGTACTGTCTGATACTGAACCATGTAGACACACTTGGGTACTGTCTGATACTGAACCATGTAGACACACTTGGGTACTGTCTGATACTGAACCATGTAGACACACTTGGGTACTGTCTGATACTGAACCATGTAGACACACTTGGGTACTGTCTGATACTGAACCATGTAGACACACTTGGGTACTGTCTGATACTGAACCATGTAGACACACTTGGGTACTGTCTGATACTGAACCATGTAGACACACTTGGGTACTGTCTGATACTGAACCATGTAGACACACTTGGGTACTGTCTGATACTGAACCATGTAGACACACTTGGGTACTGTCTGATACTGAACTGTGTAGACACACTCGGTGCTGCCTGTTACTGAACTGTGCAGACACACTCGGGTGCTGCCTGTTACTGAACTGTGTAGACACACTCGGGTGCTGCCTGTTACTGAACTGTGTAGACACACTCGGGTGCTGCCTGATACTGAACTGTGTAGACACACTCGGGTGCTGCCTGTTACTGAACTGTGTAGACACACTCGGGTGCTGTCTGATACCGAACTTTGTAGACACACTCAGGTGCTGCCTGATACTGAACTGTGTAGACACACTCGGGTGCTGTCTGTTACTGAACTGTGTAGACACAAATTTGGGTGCTGTCTGATACCGAACTGTGTAGACACACTCGGGTGCTGCCTGTTACTGAACTGTGTAGACACACTTGGGTACTGTCTGATACTGAACCATGTAGACACACTCAGATGCTGTCTGAAACTGAACTGTGTAGACACACTTGGGTACTGTCTGATACTGAACCATGTAGACACACTTGGGTGCTGTCTGATACTGAACTGTGTAGACACACTCGGGTGCTGCCTGTTACTGAACTGTGTAGACACACTCGGGTGCTGCCTGTTACTGAACTGTGTAGACACACTCGGGTGCTGCCTGTTACTGAACTGTGTAGACACACTCGGGTGCTGCCTGTTACTGAACTGTGTAGACACACTCGGGTGCTGTCTGATACCGAACTGTGTAGACACACTCGGGTGCTGTCTGAAACTGAACTGTGTAGACACACTCGGGTGCTGTCTGATACTGAACTATGTAGACACACTCGGGTGCTGTCTGATACCGAACTGTGTTGATACCGAACTGTGTAGACACACTCGGGTGCTGCCTGTTACTGAACTGTGTAGACACACTCGGGTGCTGCCTGTTACTGAACTGTGTAGACACACTCAGGTGCTGTCTGATACTGAACTGTGTAGACACACTCGGGTGCTGTCTGCTTCCATGCTGACAGGTGTTAATTTGTGAACCAGACTGTTACTAAGCTGCATTATGTTGTACTCACTTGTTACTCCTTCTTGCCTGTTGTCAGTAGTATATTGTTACTCTGTATATGTTGACAGGAGTATATTGTTACTCTGTATATGTTGACAGGAGTATATTGTTACTCTGTATATGTTGACAGGAGTATATTGTTACTCTGTATATGTTGACAGGAGTATATTGTTACTCTGTATATGTTGACAGGAGTATATTGTTACTCTGTATATGTTGACAGGAGTATATTGTTACTCTGTATATGTTGACAGGAGTATATTGTTGCTCTGTATATGTTGACAGGAGTATATTGTTACTCTGTATATGTTGACAGGAGTATTTTGTTAATCTGTATATGTTGACAGGAGTATATTGTTACTCTGTATATGTTGACAGGAGTATTTTGTTACTCTGTATATGTTGACAGGAGTATATTGTTACTCTGTATATGTTGACAGGAGTATATTGTTACTCTGTATATGTTGACAGGAGTATATTGTTGCTCTGTATATGTTGACAGGAGTATATTGTTACTCTGTATATGTTGACAGGAGTATATTGTTACTCTGTATATGTTGACAGGAGTATTTTGTTAATCTGTATATGTTGACAGGAGTATATTGTTACTCTGTATATGTTGACAGGAGTATTTTGTTACTCTGTATATGTTGACAGGAGTATTTTGTTTCTCTGTATATGTTGACAGGAGTATTTTGTTACTCTGTATATGTTGAGAGGAGTATATTGTTACTCTTTATATGTTGACAGGAGTATTTTGTTACTCTGTATATGTTGACAGGAGTATATTGTTACTCTGTATATGTTGACAGGAGTATATTGTTACTCTGTATATGTTGACAGGAGTATATTGTTACTCTGTTTATGTTGACAGGAGTATATTGTTACTCTGTATATGTTGACAGGAGTATTTTGTTGCTCTGTGACAGGAGTATATTGTTACTCTGTATATGTTGACAGGAGTATTTTGTTACTCTGTGTTGACGAGTATATTGTTACTCTGTATATGTTGACAGGAGTATATTGTTACTCTGTTTATGTTGACAGGAGTATATTGTTACTCTGTATATGTTGACAGGAGTATTTTGTTGCTCTGTATATTTTGACAGGAGTATATTGTTACTCTGTATATGTTGACAGGAGTATTTTGTTACTCTGTGTTGACGAGTATATTGTTACTCTGTATATGTTGACAGGAGTATTTTGTTGCTCTGTATATTTTGACAGGAGTATATTGTTACTCTGTATATGTTGACAGGAGTATTTTGTTACTCTGTGTTGACGAGTATATTGTTACTCTGTATATGTTGACAGGAGTATATTGTTACTCTGTTTATGTTGACAGGAGTATATTGTTACTCTGTATATGTTGACAGGAGTATATTGTTACTCTGTATATGTTGACAGGAGTATATTGTTACTCTTTATATGTTGACAGGAGTATATTGTTACTCTGTATATGTTGACAGGAGTATATTGTTACTCTTTATATGTTGACAGGAGTATTTTGTTACTCTGTATATGTTGACAGGAGTATATTGTTACTCTGTATATGTTGACAGGAGTATATTGTTACTCTGTATATGTTGACAGGAGTATATTGTTACTCTGTTTATGTTGACAGGAGTATATTGTTACTCTGTATATGTTGACAGGAGTATTTTGTTGCTCTGTATATTTTGACAGGAGTATATTGTTACTCTGTATATGTTGACAGGAGTATTTTGTTACTCTGTGTTGACGAGTATATTGTTACTCTGTATATGTTGACAGGAGTATATTGTTACTCTGTATATGTTGACAGGAGTATTTTGTTGCTCTGTATATTTTGACAGGAGTATATTGTTACTCTGTATATGTTGACAGGAGTATTTTGTTACTCTGTGTTGACGAGTATATTGTTACTCTGTATATGTTGACAGGAGTATTTTGTTGCTCTGTATATTTTGACAGGAGTATATTGTTACTCTGTATATGTTGACAGGAGTATTTTGTTACTCTGTGTTGACGAGTATATTGTTACTCTGTATATGTTGACAGGAGTATATTGTTACTCTGTTTATGTTGACAGGAGTATATTGTTACTCTGTATATGTTGACAGGAGTATATTGTTACTCTGTATATGTTGACAGGAGTATATTGTTACTGTATATGTTGACAGGAGTATATTGTTACTCTGTATATGTTGACAGGAGTATATTGTTGCTCTGTATATGTTGACAGGAGTATATTGTTACTCTGTATATGTTGACAGGAGTATATTGTTACTCTGTATATGTTGACAGGAGTATATTGTTACTCTGTATATGTTGACAGGAGTATTTTGTTACTCTGTATATGTTGACAGGAGTATATTGTTACTCTGTATATGTTGACAGGAGTATATTGTTACTCTGTATATGTTGACAGGAGTATATTGTTGCTCTGTATATGTTGACAGGAGTATATTGTTACTCTGTATATGTTGACAGGAGTATATTGTTACTCTGTATATGTTGACAGGAGTATTTTGTTACTCTGTATATGTTGACAGGAGTATATTGTTACTCTGTATATGTTGACAGGAGTATTTTGTTACTCTGTATATGTTGACAGGAGTATTTTGTTTCTCTGTATATGTTGACAGGAGTATTTTGTTACTCTGTATATGTTGACAGGAGTATATTGTTACTCTGTATATGTTGACAGGAGTATTTTGTTACTCTGTATATGTTGACAGGAGTATATTGTTACTCTGTATATGTTGACAGGAGTATATTGTTACTCTGTATATGTTGACAGGAGTATATTGTTACTCTGTTTATGTTGACAGGAGTATATTGTTACTCTGTATATGTTGACAGGAGTATTTTGTTACTCTGTATATGTTGACAGGTTGACAGTATATTTTTTACTCTGTATATGTTGACAGGAGTATATTGTTACTCTGTATATGTTGACAGGAGTATATTGTTACTCTGTATATGTTGACAGGAGTATATTGTTACTCTGTATATGTTGACAGGAGTATATTTGTTACTCTGTTTATGTTGACAGGAGTATATTGTTACTCTGTATATGTTGACAGGAGTATTTTGTTGCTCTGTATATGACAGGAGTATATTGTTACTCTGTATATGTTGACAGGAGTATTTTGTTACTCTGTGTTGACGAGTATATTGTTACTCTGTATATGTTGATATTGTTTACTCTGTATATGTTGACAGGAGTATATTGTTACTCTGTATATGTTGACAGGAGTATATTGTTACTGTGTTGACTGTATATGTTGACAGGAGTATATTGTTACTCTGTTTATGTTGACAGGAGTATATTGTTACTCTGTATATGTTGACAGGAGTATTTTGTTGCTCTGTATATTTTGACAGGAGTATATTGTTACTCTGTATATGTTGACAGGAGTATTTTGTTACTCTGTGTTGACGAGTATATTGTTACTCTGTATATTTTGACAGGAGTATATTGTTACTCTGTATATGTTGACAGGAGTATATTGTTACTCTGTGTGTGTTGACAGCAGTATATTGTTAATCTGTATATGTTGACAGGAGTATATTGTTACTCTGTATATGTTTACAGGAGTTTATTGTTACTCTGTATATGTTGACAGGAGAATATTGTTACTCTGTATATGTTGACAAGAGTACTTTGTTACTCTGTATATGTTGACAAGAGTATATTGTTGCTCTGTATATGTTGACAGGAGTATATTGTTACTCTGTATATGTTGACAGAAGTATATTGTTGCTCTGTATATGTTGACAAGAGCATATTGTTGCTCTGCAAATGTTGACAGGAGTATTTGATTACTCTGTGTGAATGAGTACAACAGTAGCTTGATGTGTCTCTTACACATGTCATGAACTTGTGCAGGAAATATTTGCATAGGAGACTAGAAGTTTCAACTCATCCACCCTATCTGCCACTATATATCTCATTTGTTCGGACCCTGAAAATATGCTCTCAAGTGATGATGAGTCCACACAGATGCCATAACAGAGGTGACCAAATTTTTTTTTTAAATCAAAGTCCTTTGTGGACAATCTTCACCATCTTTCTAAGCAGTGGGATGCTTGTCTGCCTACGTTGTCTTCTTCTGACAACCCCAGTTTCATGCTTGCTTCCTAACATTTGCTTTAATTCTCACACACCTGTCAGTACACCTTTGATGATTCACACAAGCACACTGTTCACTAAATTGTTTTATATTCACAGCTGACCGTACGGGTGCTGGGCTAGATTTTCCTTGGCCTCAGCCAGACAAGCCCATGTTTTTCTACAGCACCTTTGGCACGGAAGAGATTTCCAGCTCTGGGACTTCTTATTTGAACCGGTGAGTTTGTTTTGTCCTTGGCTCATGTTCACCATAAGAACCTCTTATCTCAGTCACATATAGAGCTACACACTGAGGTGAGGTATCTCTAGTCAAACTGTGGAGTTTGTTGTGTCCTCATATTCACCATCACAACTTTCTTATCTCAGTCACATATAGAGCTACACACTGAGGTGAGGTATCTCTAGTCAAACTGTGGAGTTTGTTGTGTAAGTAGATATTGATATTTGTTGTTTTTCTTTACAGACAGAATAAACTGTTGTAATCCCATAGCACAGTTTGAGAGGAGAACCATGTTCAGATCTGGAGTTAATATCCACCAGTTATCATTTGACCAGAACTGTGCTTTTGTTTGTCCTTCATCTTTCTGTAAAAACTTTCAGATGATGCGAGTTGTTCTTCATCTTTCTGTATAGATGGTAAACAGATAATATGTGGAGCAACAGTTTTTCTTGTCTTCACTTCTTCTCACGCCCCAAACCAGTTTAAAGTTTTCAGTCCATGGCTCACATGTTTACGTTGCTCACATAAACTTTGACACAATATCACATGTTTACATTGCTCACAAAAACTTTGACAAAATATCACATGTTTACGTTGCTGACATATACTTAATCACAGTATCACATGTTTACGTTGCTGACATATACTTTGACACAATATCACATGTTTACGTTGCTGACATATACTTTGACACAATATCACATGTTTACATTGCTGACATATACTTTATCACAATATCACATGTTTACATTGCTGACATATACTTTGACACAATATCACATGTTTACGTTGCTCACAAAAACTTTGACACAGTATCACATGTTTACGTTGCTGACATATACTTTGACACAATATCACATGTTTACGTTGCTGACATATACTTTGACACAATATCACATGTTTATGTTGCTGACATATACTTTGACACAATATCACATGTTTATGTTGCTGACATATACTTTGACACAATATCACATGTTTACGTTGCTGACATATACTTTGACACAATATCACATGTTTACATTGCTCACAAAAACTTTGACACAGTATCACATGTTTACGTTGCTGACATATACTTTGACACAATATCACATGTTTACATTGCTCACATAAACTTTGACACAGTATCACATGTTTATGTTGCTGACATATACTTTGACACAATATCACATGTTTACGTTGCTGACATATACTTTGACACAATATCACATGTTTACGTTGCTGACATATACTTTGACACAATATCACATGTTTACATTGCTCACAAAAACTTTATCGCAGTATCACATGTTTACGTTGCTGACATATACTTTATCACAGTATCACATGTTTACGTTGCTGACATATACTTTGACACAATATCACATGTAATTTGACATCTTTTGTTTTAGAACTGAGGCAGCAAACATTGAGAAGCTGGCCACCAAACTTCTTCGAGCCGGGGTCAAACCCCAGCAGATAGGGATCATTACTCCGTACGAGGGTCAGCGGGCGTATCAAGTACAGCACATGCAGTATAATGGATCATTGAACAAGAAACTCTACCTGGTCAGTATTTCTGGTTGTGATCTTGTTTACTAGCAGGTCCACAGCAGCCATGTGTGTGAGTCCACAGCAGCCATGTGTGTGAGTCCACAGCAGCCATATGTGTGAGAGTCCACAACAGCCATATGTGTGAGAGTCCACAGCATTCATATGTGTGAGAGTCCACAGCAGCCATGTGTGTGAGAGTCCACAGCAGCCATGTGTGTGAGAGTCCACAGCAGCCATGTGTGTGAGAGTCCACAGCAGTCATATGTGTGAGAGTGCACAGCAGCCATGTGTGTGAGAGTCCACAGCAGCCATGTGTGTGAGTCTACAGCAGCCATATGTGTGAGAGTGCACAGCAGCCGTGTGTGTGAGAGTCCACAGCAGCCATGTGTGTGAGTCTACAGCAGCCATATGTGTGAGAGTCCACAGCAGCCATGTGTGTGAGAGTCCACAACAGCCATGTGTGTGAGAGTCTACAGCAGCCATATTTGTGAGAGTCCAAAGCAGCCATGTGTGTGAGAGTCCACAACAGCCATGTGTGTGAGAGTCTACAGCAGCCATATGTGTGAGAGTCCACAGCAGCCATGTGTGTGAGACTCCACAACAGCCATGTGTGTGAGAGTCTACAGCAGCCATGTGTGTTTGAGCAATATTTGTAGCAATGACAATTCTTTCGTCACTTTAATCAGCCATCCTTGTTTCTTTGTCAGTCATCTGTGTTTCATGAAAACTTTTAATTGTGACAAGTAAGAGTGACACCTCTTTATGCATGTGAGATGAGAGTCGAGATAAACACACAGCTAGGAGTGACCAGGGGATATCTACACTAAGAGCAAAGATAAGATGGACATATGGTCTGGAGAGAAACATAGAGCTAGGAGTGACCAGGGGATATTAACACTCAGAGCAACCATAAGATGGACATATGGTCTGGAGAGAAACACACAGCTAGGAGTGACCAGGGAATATTAACACTCAGAGCAACCATAAGATGGACATATGGTCTGGAGAGAAACACACAGCTAGGAGTGACCAGGGGATATTAACACTGAGCAACCATAAGATGGACATATGGTCTGGAGAGAAACACACAGCTAGGAGTGACCAGCGGATATCTACACTTAGAGCAAAGATAAGATGGACATATGGTCTGGAGAGAAACACACAGCTAGGAGTGACCAGCGGATATCTACACTTAGAGCAAAGATAAGATGGACATATGGTCTGGAGAGAAACACACAGCTAGGAGTGACCAGCGGATATCTACACTTAGAGCAAAGATAAGATGGACATATGGTCTGGAGAGAAACACAGAGTTAGGATTGACCAGGGGATATCTACACTTAGAGCAAAGATAAGATGGACATATGGTCTGGAGAGAAACACACAGCTAGGAGTGACCAGCGGATATCTACACTTAGAGCAAAGATAAGATGGACATATGGTCTGGAGAGAAACACAGAGTTAGGATTGACCAGGGGATATCTACACTTAGAGCAAAGATAAGATGGACATATGGTCTGGAGAGAAACACACAGCTAGGAGTGACCAGGGGATATCTACACTTAGAGCAAAGATAAGATGGACATATGATCTGACTGCTACTGACACCATACTTTGCTGGGTACTGAAGATGAGGTTGTTGTGCATATGGGATCGCTGTGATGACAGTTCTGAGATCAAAACTCAGCTTTATGTTTTTCCTTCTTCGAGTTTACTGACTCTAAATTGTGGCAGAAAGTTCTGGTTGTTTGTCCACTTCTTGACTGTAGTCTAGTTCCAGAATTTCAGTTTGTGCACATCCATTGATTGATTGAGCATATTTGAATGCAGGCCATTGACCCCTGACCTCTCGGGCAGATACACTCTGACCTTGAAGGAAATGGCCCTAATTAGTTGAATTGTATGACATTGTTGGGGACATCACAGCATTCCTATATGCACACCATCATCATCTTCAGTAGCCAGGGGTCCTGTGTCTGTTGTTTCTGTCCCTTCAAAAAGAGACTGTGGCACCAACATGGGGAAACACTTGATTCTGTGATATATGTTTGTATTAGCCCAGACATGGGGAGACACTTGATTCTGTGATATATGTTTGTATTAGCCCAGACATGGGGAGACACTTGATTCTGTGATATATGTTTGTATTAGCCCAGACATGGGGAGACACTTGATTCTGTGATATATGTTTGTATTAGCCCCACCTGATTCTGTGATATATGTTTGTATTGGCCCCACTTGATTCTGTGATATATGTTTGTATTAGCCCAGACATGGAGAAACACTTGATTCTGTGATATATGTTTGTATTAGCCCAGACATGGGGAGACACTTGATTCTGTGATATATGTTTGTATTAGCCCCACCTGATTCTGTGATATATGTTTGTATTAGCCCCACCTGATTCTGTGATATATGTTTGTATTGGCCCCACTTGATTCTGTGATATATGTTTGTATTGGCCCCACTTGATTCTGTGATATATGTTTGTATTGGCCCCACCTGATTCTGTGATATATGTTTGTATTAGCCCAGACATGGGGAGACACTTGATTCTGTGATATATGTTTGTATTAGCCCCACCTGATTCTGTGATATATGTTTGTATTAGCCCCACCTGATTCTGTGATATATGTTTGTATTGGCCCCACTTGATTCTGTGATATATGTTTGTATTGGCCCCACTTGATTCTGTGATATATGTTTGTATTAGCCCCACCTGATTCTGTGATATATGTTTGTATTGGCCCCACTTGATTCTGTGATATATGTTTGTATTAGCCCAGACATGGAGAAACACTTGATTCTGTGATATATGTTTGTATTAGCCCAGACATGGGGAGACACTTGATTCTGTGATATATGTTTGTATTAGCCCCACCTGATTCTGTGATATATGTTTGTATTAGCCCCACCTGATTCTGTGATATATGTTTGTATTGGCCCCACTTGATTCTGTGATATATGTTTGTATTAGCCCCACCTGATTCTGTGATATATGTTAGTATTGGCCCCACTTGATTCTGTGATATATGTTTGTATTAGCCCAGACATGGAGAAACACTTGATTCTGTGATATATGTTTGTATTAGCCCAGACATGGGGAGACACTTGATTCTGTGATATATGTTTGTATTAGCCCAGACATGGGGAAACACTTGATTCTGTGATATATGTTTGTATTAGCCCAGACATGGGGAAACACTTGATTCTGTGATATATGTTTGTATTAGCCCACCTGGGGTGATATATGTTTGTATTGGCACATTCTGTGGTTTGTATTAGCCCAAACACTTGATTCTGTGATATATGTTTGTATTAGCCCCACACTGATTCTGTGATATATGTTTGTATTGGCCCCACTTGATTCTGTGATTGATTCTGTGATATATGTTTGTATTAGCCCCACTTGATTCTGTGATATATGTTTGTATTGGCCCCACCTGATTCTGTGATATATGTTTGTATTAGCCCCACTTGATTCTGTGATATATGTTTGTATTGGCCCCACTTGATTCTGTGATATATGTTTGTATTGGCCCCACCTGATTCTGTGATATATGTTTGTATTAGCCCCACCTGATTCTGTGATATATGTTTGTATTGGCCCCACTTGATTCTGTGATATATGTTTGTATTAGCCCCACCTGATTCTGTGATATATGTTTGTATTGGCCCCACTTGATTCTGTGATATATGTTTGTGTTGGCCCCACTTGATTCTGTGATATATGTTTGTATTAGCCCTACCTGATTCTGTGATATGTGTTTGTATTAGCCCCACTTGATTCTGTGATATGTGTTTGTATTAGCCCAGACATGGATCAGAACTGGGGCAGATCCAGACACGAATCATTGACACGTACATATGGAGCAGGCCTTGTGTGGGTCTGGGGCCCCCTTTTATGGGCACAACAATAGATCCCTCATCTTTTTCTAGAGGTAACTAACTAGAGGTTGCTCTAATCTGACGTGTTGGGCTGGCAGGCATGGATATCACAGCTGTGATCATGTTGCTGTTTATTTAGTTCTAGTTTCTGGACATTATACGTGCCTCAGTCAAGCATGTCATATGTCAGGAGATTGTTAACTTAGCGTGGCATGTGAGATGTCAGGAGATAAGTATTTCACTGGTAACTTAACATGGCATGTGAGATGTCAGGAGATAAGTATTTCACTGGTAACTTAACATGGCATGTGAGATGTCAGGAGATAAGTATTTCACTGGTAACTTAGCGTGGCATGTGAGATGTCAGGAGATATTTCACTGGTAACTTAACATGGCATGTGAGATGTCAGGAGATAAGTATTTCACTGGTAACTTAGCGTGGCATGTGAGATGTCAGGAGATAAGTATTTCACTGGTAACTTAGCGTGGCATGTGAGATGTCAGGAGATAAGTATTTCACTGGTAACTTAGCGTGGCATGTGAGATGTCAGGAGATAAGTATTTCACTGGTAACTTAACATGGCATGTGAGATGTCAGGAGATAAGTATTTCACTGGTAACTTAGCGTGGCATGTGAGATGTCAGGAGATAAGTATTTCACTGGTAACTTAGCGTGGCATGTGAGATGTCAGGAGATAAGTATTTCACTGGTAACTTAGCGTGGCATGTGAGATGTCAGGAGATAAGTATTTCACTGGTAACTTAACATGGCATGTGAGATGTCAGGAGATAAGTATTTCACTGGTAACTTAGTGTGGCATGTGAGTAGATCTCTCTCTGGTGACTCATGTCTAATTAATCAATCCAGGAGATTGAGGTGGCAAGTGTTGATGCTTTCCAAGGACGAGAGAAGGACTTCATCCTCTTGTCCTGCGTCAGGTCAAATGAGCACCAGGGCATTGGCTTCCTGAATGATCCTCGCCGCCTGAACGTGGCTCTGACCCGTGCCAGGTAAGGTCTGTTGGTCTCTCTCGTTCTAGTTCTCACGTGATTATGAGTTTGTTTGATACTGCAGCAGTGTAAAACTGACTGAAGCGTATTCTGGTCTGTCTCATTCTATTTCTCCTGTGTTTATGAGTTGTTTGTTTGTGAGATACTGTAGCAGTGTAAAACTGTTTGTAGAATGATCTGTCATTCATGTAATGTTATTTTAATCTGTTAAAACCTGTAAGAAGTATTGAGATTATCTAAAGATTGTCTTTCCTAATTTCTTCTTCTTTTAGTTCATCCAAGTGATGTATTGTGCCTGTTTACAGCAAAGCTGCAATATTTGTCTCTTTCTGCACCAACACATCCAACTTCATTGCACATTTGTTCTCAGGGTTAACTTGACACGGTGTAGCCTTATGTGTATGGCACTTTTTTTTTCTCCCTTTCCCTAATTCCATGTTTGTGTTCTTTTTCTATACAGATATGGAGTAATCATTGTTGGAAACCCAAAAATATTGTCACGAGTGAGTATATGCTTTTATTGCCCCTCTTAATTAAGAGTTAGTGTGCAGGTGTGTACAGTTGTGTGTTTTCCATTATCCATGAGAATGATTAAAACAATTATTAAACTACAAACATTCATTACTTGATGTTTATTCAGAGTATGACCCTAACGGTATGTGTTGGCTCGCTCACTCCAATCCTCAATGATAGGCATGGGTTTTATTCTCTTGTACAGTAGAGCACATATAGGTGTGTCCCAACATATTTGCTTCTGTTTGTATTAATAATTAATGTTTATAGTTGATTCTGTGGTTGCAGCAGCAAATGGCAACATTTGCATGTCTCTTATCTGTGTTTGCAGGAGCAAATGGCAACATTTATGTCTCTTACTTGTGGTTGTAGCAGCAAATGGACAAAATGTGTGTCTCTTATCTGTGGTTGTAGCAGCAAATGAACAAAATGTGTGTCTCTTATCTGTGGTTGTAGCAGCAAATGAACAAAATGTGTGTCTCTTATTTGTGGTTGTAGCAGCAAATGGACAAAATGTGTGTCTCTTATTTGTGGTTGTAGCAGCAAATAGACAAAATGTGTGTCTCTTATTTGTGGTTGTAGCAGCAAATGGACAAAATGTGTGTCTCTTATCTGTGGTTGTAGCAGCGAATGGATAAAATGTGTGTCTGTTATCTGTGGTTGTAGCAGCAAATAGATAAAATGTGTGTCTCTTATCTGTGGTTGTAGCAGCAAATGGATAAAAAGTGTGTATCTTATCTGTGGTTGTAGCAGCAAATGGATAAAATGTGTGTCTCTTATCTGTGGTTGTAGCAGCAAATGGATAAAATGTGTGTCTCTTATCTGTGGTTGTAGCAGCAAATGGCAACATTTATGTCTCTTACTTGTGGTTGTAGCAGCAAATGGACAAAATGTGTGTCTCTTATCTGTGGTTGTAGCAGCAAATGGATAAAATGTGTGTCTCTTATCTGTGGTTGTAGCAGCAAATAGACAAAATGTGTCTCTCTTATCTGTGGTTGTAGCAGCAAATGGATAAAATGTGTGTCTCTTATCTGTGGTTGTAGCAGCAAATGGATAAAATGTGTGTCTCTTATCTGTGGTTGTAGCAGCAAATGGATAAAATGTGTGTCTGTTATCTGTGGTTGTAGCAGCAAATGGATAAAATGTGTGTCTGTTATCTGTGGTTGTAGCAGCAAATGAACAAAATGTGTGTCTCTTATCTGTGGTTGTAGCAGCAAATGAACAAAATGTGTGTCTTATCTGTGGTTGTAGCAGCGAATGGACAAAATGTCTCTTATCTGTGGTTGTAGCAGCAAATGGACAAAATGTCTCTTATCTGTGGTTATAGCAGCGAATGGATAAAATGTGTCTCTCTTATCTGTGGTTGTAGCAGCAAATGAACAAAATGTGTGTCTTATCTGTGGTTTTAGCAGCGAATGGATAAAATGTGTGTCTCTTATCTGTGGTTGTAGCAGCGAATGGATAAAATGTGTGTCTCTTATCTGTGGTTGTAGCAGCGAATGGATAAAATGTGTGTCTCTTATCTGTGGTTGTAGCAGCAAATGGACAAAATGTGTGTCTCTTATCTGTGGTTGTAGCAGCGAATGGACAAAATGTGTGTCTTATCTGTGGTTGTAGCAGCGAATGGACAAAATGTCTCTTATCTGTGGTTATAGCAGCAAATGGACAAAATGTGTGTCTTATCTGTGGTTGTAGCAGCAAATAGACAAAATGTCTTATCTGTGGTTGTAGCAGCGAATGGACAAAATGTCTCTTATCTGTGGTTGTAGCAGCAAATGGACAAAATGTCTCTTATCTGTGGTTATAGCAGCAAATAGACAAAATGTGTGTCTCTTATCTGTGGTTGTAGCAGTGAATGGACAAAATGTCTCTCATCTGTGGTTGTAGCAGCAAATGGACAAAATGTCTCTTATCTGTGGTTGTAGCAGTGAATGGATAAAATGTCTCTTATCTGTGGTTGTAGCAGCAAATGGACAAAATGTCTCTTATCTGTGGTTGTAGCAGCAAATAGACAAAATGTGTGTCTCTTATCTGTGGTTGTAGCAGCAAATGGACAAAATGTGTGTCTTATCTGTGGTTGTAGCAGCAAATGGACAAAATGTCTCTTATCTGTGGTTGTAGCAGTGAATGGATAAAATGTCTCTTATCTGTGGTTGTAGCAGCAAATGGACAAAATGTCTCTTATCTGTGGTTGTAGCAGCAAATGGATAAAATGTGTGTCTCTTATTTGTGGTTGTAGCAGCAAATAGACAGAATGTGTGTCTCTCATCTGTGGTTGTAGCATCAAATGAACAAAATGTGTGTCTCTTATCTGTGGTTGTAGCAGCGAATGGACAAAATGTCTTTTATCTGTGGTTGTAGCAGCAAATAGACAAAATGTGTGTCTCTCATCTGTGGTTGTAGCAGCAAATGGACAAAATGTGTGTCTTATCTGTGGTTGTAGCAGCAAATAGACAAAATGTGTGTCTTATCTGTGGTTGTAGCAGCGAATGGACAAAATGTGTGTCTCTTATCTGTGGTTGTAGCAGCAAATGGTAACATTTGTATGTCTCTCATCTGTGGTTGTAGCAGCAAATAGACAAAATGTGTGTCTTATCTGTGGTTGTAGCAGCAAATAGACAAAATGTGTGTCTTATCTGTGGTTGTAGCAGCGAATGGACAAAATGTCTCTTATCTGTGGTTGTAGCAGCGAATGGACAAAATGTCTCTTATCTGTGGTTGCAGCAGTGAATGGTAACATTTGTATGTCTCTTATCTGTGGTTGCAGCAATCCTTGTGGTGCCACCTGCTGACCTTCTATAGGGATCAGAAGTGCCTGGTAGAAGGCCCGCTGTCCAGCCTGAAGGAGTGCTTCGTCAACATCAGCAAGCCTCGCAAGCTTGTCAACACCACCAACCCGGTGAGTTCTCTAGGTAGCCGGTTGATTGTTTGGGGGGGGGGGGGGGTGTGTATCTCTACACAGGATGTGAGGGTTAAAAGGATGTGACAGAATCACCAACATGGAGCTCAAGGCATCAACTAAACAAATCCAGATGAATTGAGAGGCGGGAAAAAGATGTTGGTACTGAATAAGGCAACATTGTAGAAACTTGATAATTGAGTAACAGAGCAACAGAAATCGTGGATACACACCTGAAGGGAATTAAAGGCGGGTGAATATTGTGCGGAAGAAATGGATGCTGTTGGGCACAGCAAGGGATCAGCATTGTTGGGTGGAGTTGGTTGAGTCTGTGTGCCTGTATGAGATAAAAGTAGATCACAGATTATTTTTTTTATTTAAGTGGTTGAACAGAACACCTTATAAATGATCCATTGTCATTTGTTGTAATAATTTGATTGGATTGTGAATGACTGCCTGATCTGCCTTCCTTTCTCTTGCATCTTCTTCTACATTGGCAAGTAGATATACCTGACTTTTGTTGAGTCTTTTACCTTAACTACCTTGGAAATGTATAAGTACCTTTCATTATTATTATTTTTTCCTCTTTTTTGTTTGCTATTTTCCCCTCCACCATGGGATGTGGATGTAAGTACAGGAAAAACAAAGTGCCTTGTCCCATGCTTTGTCCCATGTCTTGTCCCATGCCCTGTCCCATGCCTTGTCCCATGCCCTATCCCATGCCTTGTTCCATGTCCTGTCCCATGCCTTGTCTCATGCCTTGTCCCATGCCCTGTCCCATGTCTTGTCTCATGCCCTGTCTCATGCTCTGTCCCATGTCTTGTCTCATGCCCTGTCTCATGCTCTGTCCCATGCCTTGTTCCATGCCCTGTCCCATGCCTTGTCCCATGCCCTGTCCCATGCCTTGTCCCATGCCTTGTCTCATATCCTGTCCCATGCCTTGTCCCATGTCCTGTCCCATGCCTTGTCCCATGCCTTGTCCCATGTCCTGTCCCATGCCTTGTCTCATGCTCTGTCCCATGTCTTGTCTCATGCTCTGTCCCATGCCTTGTTCCATGCTCTGTCCCATGCCTTGTCCCATGCCCTGTCCCATGTCTTGTCTCATGCCCTGTCTCATGCTCTGTCCCATGCCTTGTCTCATGCTCTGCCCCATGCCCTGTCCCATGCCTTGTCCCATGTCCTGTCCCATGCCTTGTCTCATGCTCTGTCCCATGCCCTGTCCCATGTCTTGTCTCATGCTCTGTCCCATGTCTTGTCTCATGCTCTGTCCCATGTCTTGTCTCATGCTCTGTCCCATGTCTTGTCCCATGCTCTGTCCCATGCCCTGTCCCATGCCTTGTCCCATGCCTTGTCTCATGCTCTGTCCCATGTCTTGTCCCATGTCTTGTCCCATGCCTTGTCTCATGCCCTGTCCCATGCCTTGACCCATGCCTTGACCCATGCCCTGTCCCATGCCTTGTTCCATGCTCTGTCCCATGCCTTGTCCCATGTCCTGTCCCATGCCCTGTCCTATGCCCTGTCCTATGCCTTTTCCCATGCCCTGACCCATTCCCTGTCCTATGCCTTGACCCATGCCCTGTCCAATGCCTTGACCCATGCCCTGTCCCATGCTTTGTCCCATGCCCTGTCCTATGCCTTGACCTATGCCCTGACCCATTCCCTGTCCTATGCCCTGACCCATTCCCTGTCCCATGCCTTGACCTATGCCCTGACCCATTCCCTGTCCTATGCCTTGACCCATGCCCTGTCCCATGCCCTGTCCTATGCCTTGACCTATGCCCTGACCCATTCCCTGTCCTATGCCTTGACCCATTCCCTGTCCCATGCCTTGACCCATGCCCTGTCCTATGCCTTGACCCATGCCCTGTCCTATGCCTTGACCCATGCCTTGTCCCAGTGGATAAAAGATATTAGCCCAAGTTCTATAGACCCCTAGACAAGTCAGAGGTCAGGTAGTGAGTACACGACCCAGAGAACTCACCAGTGAGAACATGCAGCATTAGATGTAAACTGACACTAGATGTTACTAGAGAGATCATGTTTTCTGACACACACACTCCAATTTGTTGCTTCCTGACTTAGTTGTGAGCTTGGTCTTGAGCTGTATACGTATGATCTCACTTGTCTAAGGGGCTTTTATTTGTATATGTATTGCCAGGGTGGCCGCTTCATGAGCAACACCATGTTTGATGCTAGGGAGCTCTTGGTCCCTGGAAGTGCATACGACAGAGGTAAGTTTGTGTGCCTTTCATGTGTCGAGTTTCGCTTATGGCAGCTCGGACTGTATTGATCTCTGAAACATACTTTCTCACTAAATTGGCAGTGAATTCTGTTTCACTGGGAACAGTTTGACAGATTGTAGTGAAACTTAGATGTACATGTTTGTTAGTTTTAGTTTTGTTTTTGGGTTTGTTCTAGGCTTATTTGATTGGCTTGACCCAGCCTCATTAATGGGCTCCACCCAACCTCATTTAATGGGCTCCAGCCAACCTCATTTAATGGGCTCCACCCAACCTCATTTAATGGGTTCCAGCCAACCTCATTGACTGGGTTCCACCCAAACTCATTTAATGGGCTCCACCCAACCTCATTTAATGGGCTCCACCCAACCTCATTTAATGGGCCCCACCCAACCTCATTTAATGGGCTCCACCCAACCTCATTTAATGGGCTCCACCCAACCTCATTTAATGGGCTCCACCCAACCTCATTTAATGGGCTCCACCCAAGCTCATTTAATGGGCTCCACCCAAGCTCATTTTATGGGCTCCACCCAAGCTCGTTTAATGGGCTTCACCCAACCTCGTTTAATCGGCTCCACCCAACCTTGTTTAATGGGCTCCACACAACCTCGTTTAATGGGCTCCACCCAACCTCGTTTAATGGGCTCCACCCAACCTCGTTTAATGGGTTCCACCCAACCTCGTTTAATGGGCTCCACCCAACCTCATTTAATGGGCTCCACCCAACCTCATTTAATGGGCTCCACCCAACCTCGTTTAATGGGCTCCACGCGACCTCGTTTAATGGGCTCCACCCAACCTCATTCAATGGGCTCCACCCAACCTCATTCAATGGGCTCCACCCAAACTCGTTAAATGGGCTCCACCCAACCTCGTTTAATGGGCTCCACCCAACCTCGTTTAATGGGCTCCACCCAACCTCGTTTAATGGGCTCCACCCAAACTCATTTAATGGGCTCCACCCAAGCTCATTTAATGGGCTCCACCCAAGCTCATCTAATGGGCTCCACCCAACCTCATTTAATGGGCTCCACCCAACCTCATTTAATGGTCTCCACCCAACCTCATTTAATGGGCTCCACCCAAGCTTATTTATTGGGCTCCACCCAACCTCATCTAATAGGCTCCACCCAACCTCATTTAATGGGCTCCACCCAACCTCATTTAATGGTCTCCACCCAACCTCATTTAATGGGCTCCACCCAACCTCATTTAATGGGCTCCACCCAACAACATTTAATGGGCTCCACCCAGCCTCAGTCAGTGGTCTCCGTCTTGCTGAGAATGAAGATGAGAGCCCAAAACTAATACAAGCATGTGCCAAATCTCCAGCCTGCCCCAGGAGGTTGCACTGACCTGTCTAATAAAACTGTCATTGATGTCCCACAGCAAATAACTCTTACCGTGAGCCAGTGCTGCACACCCACGACCAGCTAGGCTTCATCGGACCAGACAGGGCCTACACCAGGTCAGCCATGAACATCCCAGTGCCAGTCAACATGTTTCTGCCACACCCTGTGCCACCGCAATTCAACCACGGCAGATCCCAGCAAGGTAAGAACACCCATGCCACCTCAGTTCAACTACAGCAGATTTCAGTATAGTAAGAACACCATGTGCCACCACAGATCCTAGCAAGGTAAGAACACCATGTGTCACCAGAGATCCTAGCAAGGTAAGAACACCATGTGTCACCAGAGATCCTAGCAAGGTAAGAACACCATGTGTCACCACAGATCCTAGCAAGGTAAGAACACCATGTGTCACCACAGATTCTAGCGAGGTAAGAACACCATGTGTCACCAGAGATCCTAGCAAGGTAAGAACACCATGTGCCACCACAGATCCTAGCGAGGTAAGAACACCATGTGTCACCACAGATCCTAGCGAGGTAAGAACACCATGTGTCACCAGAGATCCTAGCAAGGTAAGAACACCATGTGCCACCACAGATCCTAGCGAGGTAAGAACACCATGTGTCACCAGAGATCCTAGCAAAGTAAGAACACCATGTGTCACCAGAGATCCTAGCAAGGTAAGAACACCATGTGTCACCAGAGATCCTAGCAAGGTAAGAACACCATGTGTCACCAGAGATCCTAGCAAGGTAAGAACACCATGTGTCACCAGAGATCCTAGCAAGGTAAGAACACCATGTGTCACCAGAGATCCTAGCAAGGTAAGAACACCATGTGTCACCAGAGATCCTAGCAAGGTAAGAACACCATGTGTCACCAGAGATCCTAGCAAGGTAAGAACACCATGTGTCACCAGAGATCCTAGCAAAGTAAGAACACCATGTGCCACCAGAGATCATAGCAAGGTAAGAACACCATGTGTCACCACAGACACTAGCAAGGTAAGAACACCATGTGCCACCACAGACACTAGCAAGGTAAGAACACCTTCATGTGCCACCACAGACACTAGCGAGGTAAGAACACCTTTATGTGCTACCACAGACACTAGCAAAGTAAGAACACCATGTGCCACCACAGACACTAGCGAGGTAAGAACACCTTCATGTGCCACCGCAGACACTAGCGAGGTAAGAACACCTTCATGTGCCACCACAGACACTAGCGAGGTAAGAACACCTTCATGTGCCACCACAGACACTAGCGAGGTAAGAACACCTTCATGTGCCACCACAGACACTAGCAAGGTAAGAACACCATGTGCCACCACAGACACTAGCGAGGTAAGAACACCATGTGCCACCACAGACACTAGCAAGGTAAGAACACCATGTGCCACCACAGATCCTAGCAAGGTAAGAACACCATGTGTCACCACAGACACTAGCAAGGTAAGAACACTATGTGCCACCACAGATCCTAGCAAGGTAAGAACACCATGTGCCACCACAGACACTAGCAAGGTAAGAACACCATGTGCCACCACAGACACTAGCGAGGTAAGAACACCTTCATGTGCCACCACAGACACTAGCGAGGTAAGAACACCTTGTGCCACCTCAATTCAAGCATGGCAGACCAAGGCAAGGTAAAAACACCACGTGCTGTCTCAGTTCAACTTCGACAGATCCCAGCCAGTAAGAGACAGTACATGTTGAATACACTTGACAACACTATGTTTCATGTTATGCATGCAAGCTCCCTGTGTTGATTACATGTGGGGGGGGGGGGGGGGTGAAATAAAATAGACCCACTGTGCAACAAGTAGATCCTTAAAGGCAATTAATTAATGGATGTTTCCATCGAAGTGCATCTGCCTGAGAGGCAAGGAACCAACAGTCTGCCTGAAAGTAAGGTCTGTAAAAGGAAGTGCACGTAAAACTCAAGTTCTCGAACAAAACCAAAGTCCAGAAGGGGGACTAGCAACCAGAACTTTCTGAAAGAGTTTACAGCTGGTGAACATGAAGAAGTAGACTAGCAACCAGAACTTTCTGAAAGAGTTTACAGCTGGTGAACATGAAGAAGTAGACTAGCAACCAGAACTTTCTGAAAGAGTTTACAGCTGGTGAACATGAAGAAGTAGACCAGTACCCAGAACTTTCTGAAAGAGTTTACAGCTGGTGAACATGAAGAAGTAGACCAGTACCCAGAACTTTCTGAAAGAGTTTACAGCTGGTGAACATGAAGAAGTAGACTAGCAACCAGAACTTTCTGAAAGAGTTTACAGCTGGTGAACATGAAGAAGTAGACTAGCAACCAGAACTTTCTGAAAGAGTTTACAGCTGGTGAACATGAAGAAGTAGACTAGCAACCAGAACTTTCTGAAAGAGTTTACAGCTGGTGAACATGAAGAAGTAGACAAACACTAACACTGATCGAAATGCATTAAAGCAAAAATGAATCTTAAAAATTGCTGTGATGTTGAATTCTAGGGAATGCTAAAAATCGCTGGAGTGGAAGTCGCCAGCAGAAATCTGGCAAGAACAGTGTCACCAGTAACTCTCAGAGTCAGGCTAGCCAGGTAAGTGTTGCAGTTTCATGTCATAACTATTATGTATTAGTGTTTTTTAGAGAAACATTTAAAGCAGTGATTCATTTGTTCATGTCAGAATTGTATTCTTTATCCTCGTTATGTCGCTGTTGATAAATAAGACATTCACAAATAATTGCCGTTGCTGCCAGTCTGGCTATGGTATCCCATGTCATTTTACATTCGTCCATTTCTCCTCCTACTGTCTTTCTCCAGATTTCTTAGGTTATCTGTGTGTGTTTTTCTCTATCTTTCATCCACCGGAGAGCTGTCCCTGCCAAAGGGCATTCTGCAAGCGTGTTCAAGAATGTGTTGCTATGGAACCATGTGTACATGTGATGCTAGTGTAGCTATAGAACCATGTGTACATGTGATGCTAGTGTTGCTATGGAATCATGTGTACATGTGATGCTAGTGTAGCTATAGAACCATGTGTACATGTGATGCTAGTGTAGCTATAGAACCATGTGTACATGTGATGCTAGTGTAGCTATAGAATCATGTGTACAGGGGATGCTAGTGTAGCTATAGAACCATGTGTACATGTGATGCTAGTGTAGCTATAGAACCATGTGTACAGGGGATGCTAATGTTGCTATAGAACCATGTGTACATTGGATGCTAGTGTAGCTATAGAACCATGTGTACATGTGATGCTAGTGTTGCTATAGAACCATGTGTACAGGGGATGCTAGTGTAGCTATAGAACCATGTGTACATGTGATGCTAGTGTGGCTATAGAACCATGTGTACATGTGATGCTAGTGTTGCTATAGAACCATGTGTACATGTGATGCTAGTGTGGCTATGGAATCATGTGTACATGTGATGCTAATGTTGCTATAGAATCATGTGTACATGTGATGCTAGTGTAGCTATAGAACCATGTGTACATGTGATGCTAGTGTTGCTATAGAACCATGTGTACATGTGATGCTAGTGTTGCTATAGAACCATGTGTACATGTGATGCTAGTGTTGCTATAGAACCATGTGTACATGTGATGCTAGTGTTGCTATAGAACCATGTGTACATGTGATGCTAGTGTTGCTATAGAACCATGTGTACATGTGATGCTAGTGTTGCTATAGAACCATGTGTACATGTGATGCTAGTGTAGCTATAGAAGCATGTGTACATGTGATGCTAGTGTTGCTATAGAACCATGTGTACATGTGATGCTAGTGTTGCTATAGAACCATGTGTACATGTGATGCTAGTGTTGCTATAGAACCATGTGTACATGTGATGCTAGTGTTGCTATAGAACCATGTGTACATGTGATGCTAGTGTTGCTATAGAACCATGTGTACATGTGATGCTAGTGTTGCTATAGAACCATGTGTACATGTGATGCTAGTGTTGCTATAGAACCATGTGTACATGTGATGCTAGTGTTGCTATAGAACCATGTGTACATGTGATGCTAGTGTTGCTATAGAACCATGTGTACATGTGATGCTAGTGTTGCTATAGAACCATGTGTACATGTGATGCTAGTGTTGCTATAGAACCATGTGTACATGTGATGCTAGTGTTGCTATAGAACCATGTGTACATGTGATGCTAGTGTTGCTATAGAACCATGTGTACATGTGATGCTAGTGTTGCTATAGAACCATGTGTACATGTAGTACATGTGACATGTGATGCTAGTGTTGCTATAGAACCATGTGTACATGTGATGCTAGTGTTGCTATAGAACCATGTGTACATGTGATGCTAGTGTTGCTATAGAACCATGTGTACATGTGATGCTAGTGTTGCTATAGAACCATGTGTACATGTGATGCTAGTGTGTTGCTATGTTGATAGAACCATGTGTACATGTGATGCTAGTGTTGCTATAGAACCATGTGTACATGTGATGCTAGTGTTGCTATAGAACCATGTGTACATGTGATGCTAGTGTTGCTATAGAACCATGTGTACATGTGATGTGTACTAGTGTTGCTATAGAACCATGTGTACATGTGATGCTAGTGTTGCTATAGAACCATGTGTACATGTGATGCTAGTGTTGCTATAGAACCATGTGTACATGTGATGCTAGTGTTGCTATAGAACCATGTGTACATGTGATGCTAGTGTTGCTATAGAACCATGTGTACATGTGATGCTAGTGTTGCTATAGAACCATGTGTACATGTGATGCTAGTGTTGCTATAGAACCCATGTGTACATGTGATGCTAGTGTTGCTATGAACCTATGTGTACATAGTAGTTTAATGCTATAGAACCATGTGTACATGTGATGCTAGTGTTGCTATAGAACCATGTGTACATGTGATGCTAGTGTTGCTATAGAACCATGTGTACATGTGATGCTAGTGTTGCTATAGAACCATGTGTACATGTGATGCTAGTGTTGCTATAGAACCATGTGTACATGTGATGCTAGTGTTGCTATAGAACCATGTGTACATGTGATGCTAGTGTTGCTATAGAACCATGTGTACATGTGATGCTAGTGTTGCTATAGAACCATGTGTACATGTGATGCTAGTGTTGCTATAGAACCATGTGTACATGTGATGCTAGTGTTGCTATAGAACCATGTGTACATGTGATGCTAGTGTACTATAGAACCATGTGTACATGTGATGCTAGTGTAGTGTTGCTATAGAACCATGTGTACATGTGATGCTAGTGTTGCTATAGAACCATGTGTACATGTGATGCTAGTGTTGCTATAGAACCATGTGTACATGTGATGCTAGTGTTGCTATAGAACCATGTGTACATGTGATGCTAGTGTTGCTATAGAACCATGTGTACATGTGATGCTAGTGTTGCTATAGAACCATGTGTACATGTGATGCTAGTGTTGCTATAGAACCATGTGTACATGTGATGCTAGTGTTGCTATAGAACCATGTGTACATGTGATGCTAGTGTTGCTATAGAACCATGTGTACATGTGATGCTAGTGTTGCTATAGAACCATGTGTACATGTGATGCTAGTGTTGCTATAGAACATGTGTATGTGTACATGTGATGCTAGTGTTGCTATAGAACCATGTGTACATGTGATGCTAGTGTTGCTATAGAACCATGTGTACATGTGATGCTAGTGTTGCTATAGAACCATGTGTACATGTGATGCTAGTGTAGCTATAGAACCATGTGTACATGTGATGCTAGTGTAGCTATAGAACCATGTGTACATGTGATGCTAGTGTTGCTATAGAACCATGTGTACATGTGATGCTAGTGTTGCTATAGAACCATGTGTACATGTGATGCTAGTGTTGCTATAGAACCATGTGTACATGTGATGCTAGTGTTGCTATAGAACCATGTGTACATGTGATGCTAGTGTTGCTATAGAACCATGTGTACATGTGATGCTAGTGTTGCTATAGAACCATGTGTACATGTGATGCTAGTGTTGCTATAGAACCATGTTGTATAGAACCATGTGTACATGTGATGCTAGTGTTGCTATAGAACCATGTGTACATGTGATGCTAGTGTTGCTATAGAACCATGTGTACATGTGATGCTAGTGTTGCTATAGAACCATGTGTACATGTGATGCTAGTGTTGCTATAGAACCATGTGTACATGTGATGCTAGTGTTGCTATAGAACCATGTGTACATGTGATGCTAGTGTTGCTATAGAACCATGTGTACATGTGATGCTAGTGTTGCTATAGAACCATGTGTACATGTGATGCTAGTGTTGCTATAGTGTGTACATGTGATGCTAGTGTTGCTATAGAACCATGTGTACATGTGATGCTAGTGTTGCTATAGAACCATGTGTACATGTGATGCTAGTGTTGCTATAGAACCATGTGTACATGTGATGATGCTAGTGTTGCTATAGAACCATGTGTACATGTGATGCTACATGTGATGCTATAGAAACATGTGTACATGTGATGCTAGTGTTGCTATAGAACCATGTGTACATGTGATGCTAGTGTTGCTATAGAACCATGTGTACATGTGATGCTAGTGTTGCTATAGAACCATGTGTACATGTGATGCTAGTGTTGCTATAGAACCATGTGTACATGTGATGCTAGTGTTGCTATAGAACCATGTGTACATGTGATGCTAGTGTTGCTATAGAACCATGTGTACATGTGATGCTAGTGTTGCTATAGAACCATGTGTACATGTGATGCTAGTGTTGCTATAGAACCATGTGTACATGTGATGCTAGTGTTGCTATAGAACCATGTGTACATGTGATGCTAGTGTTGCTATAGAACCATGTGTACATGTGATGCTAGTGTTGCTATAGAACCATGTGTACATGTGATGCTAGTGTTGCTATAGAACCATGTGTACATGTGATGCTAGTGTTGCTATAGAACCATGTGTACATGTGATGCTAGTGTTGCTATAGAACCATGTGTACATGTGATGCTAGTGTTGCTATAGAACCATGTGTACATGTGATGCTAGTGTTGCTATAGAACCATGTGTACATGTGATGCTAGTGTTGCTATAGAACCATGTGTACATGTGTGCTAGTGTTGCTATAGAACCATGTGTACATGTGATGCTAGTGTTGCTATAGAACCATGTGTACATGTGATGCTAGTGTTGCTATAGAACCATGTGTGATGCTAGTGTGATAGAACTGTGTACATGTGTGCTAGTGTGGCTATAGAACCATGTGTACATGTGATGCTAGTGTAGCTATAGAACCATGTGTACATGTGATGCTAGTGTAGCTATAGAACCATGTGTACATGTGATGCTAGTGTTGCTATAGAACCATGTGTACATGTGATGCTAGTGTTGCTATAGAACCATGTGTACATGTGATGCTAGTGTAGCTATAGAACCATGTGTACATGTGATGCTAGTGTAGCTATAGAACCATGTGTACATGTGATGCTAGTGTTGCTATAGAACCATGTGTACATGTGATGCTAGTGTAGCTATAGAACCATGTGTACATGTGATGCTAGTGTAGCTATAGAACCATGTGTACATGTGATGCTAGTGTTGCTATAGAACCATGTGTACATGTGATGCTAGTGTTGCTATAGAACCATGTGTACATGTGATGCTAGTGTTGCTATAGAACCATGTGTACATGTGATGCTAGTGTTGCTATAGAACCATGTGTACATGTGATGCTAGTGTTGCTATAGAACCATGTGTACATGGGATGCTAGTGTTGCTATAGAACCATGTGTACATGTGATGCTAGTGTTGCTATAGAACCATGTGTACATGTGATGCTAGTGCTATGTGTGTGAGCTAGTGTTGCTATAGAAAACCATATGATGCTAGAACCATGTGTACATGTGATGCTAGTGTTGCTATATAGAACCATGTGTACATGTGATGCTAGTGTAGCTATAGAACCATGTGTACATGTGATGCTAGTGTAGCTATAGAACCATGTGTACATGTGATGCTAGTGTAGCTATAGAACCATGTGTACATGTGATGCTAGTGTAGCTATAGAACCATGTGTACAGGGGATGCTAGTGTAGCTATAGAACCATGTGTACATGTGATGCTAGTGTTGCTATAGAACCATGTGTACATGTGATGCTAGTGTTGCTATAGAACCATGTGTACATGTGATGCTAGTGTTGCTATAGAACCATGTGTACATGTGATGCTAGTGTTGCTATAGAACCATGTGTACATGTGATGCTAGTGTTGCTATAGAACCATGTGTACATGTGATGCTAGTGTTGCTATAGAACCATGTGTACATGTGATGATAGCTGTGTACATGTGCTAGTGTTGCTATAGAACCATGTGTACATGTGATGCTAGTGTTGCTATAGAACCATGTGTACATGTGATGCTAGTGTTGCTATAGAACCATGTGTACATGTGATGCTAGTGTTGCTATAGAACTATGGTATAGTGTTGCTACCCATGTGTACATGTGATGCTAGTGTTGCTATAGAACCATGTGTACATGTGATGCTAGTGTTTGCTATAGAACCATGTGTACATGTGATGCTAGTGTTTGCTATGGAACCATGTGTACATGTGATGCTAATGTTGCTATGGAACCATGTGTACATGTGATGCTAATGTTGCTATAGAACCATGTGTACATGTCAGGCTAATGTTGCTATAGAACCATGTGTACATGTCAGGCTAATGTTGCTATAGAACCATGTGTACATGTCAGGCTAATGTTGCTATAGAACCATGTGTACATGGGATGCTAGTGTTGCTATAGAACCATGTGTACATGTGATGCTAGTGTAGCTATAGAACCATGTGTACATGTGATGCTAGTGTTGCTATAGAACCATGTGTACATGTGATGCTAGTGTTGCTATAGAACCATGTGTACATGTGATGCTAGTGTAGCTATAGAACCATGTGTACATGTGATGCTAGTGTAGCTATAGAACCATGTGTACATGTGATGCTAGTGTTGCTATAGAACCATGTGTACAGGGGATGCTAGTGTAGCTATAGAACCATGTGTACATGTGATGCTAGTGTAGCTATAGAACCATGTGTACATGTGATGCTAGTGTAGCTATAGAACCATGTGTACATGTGATGCTAGTGTAGCTATAGAACCATGTGTACATGTGATGCTAGTGTTGCTATAGAACATGTGTACATGTGATGCTAGTGTTGCTATAGAACCATGTGTACATGTGATGCTATAGAACCATGTGTACATGTGATTCTAGTGTAGCTATAGAACCATGTGTACATGTGATGCTAGTGTTGCTATAGAACCATGTGTACAGGGGATGCTAGTGTAGCTATAGAACCATGTGTACATGTGATGCTAGTGTTGCTATAGAACCATGTGTACATGTGATGCTAGTGTTGCTATAGAACCATGTGTACATGTGATGCTAGTGTTGCTATAGAACCATGTGTACATGTGATGCTAGTGTTGCTATAGAACTATGTGTACATGTGATGCTAGTGTTTCTATAAAACCATGTGTACAGGGGATGTTAGTGTAGCTATAGAACCATGTGTACATGTGATGCTAGTGTTGCTATAGAACCATGTGTACATGTGATGCTAGTGTTGCTATAGAACCATGTGTACATGTGATGCTAGTGTTTGCTATAGGAACATGTGTATGTGGATGCTAGTGTAGCTATAGAACCATGTGTACATGTGATGCTAGTGTTGCTATAGAACCATGTGTACATGTGATGCTAGTGTTGCTATAGAACCATGTGTACATGTGTTGCTAGTGTTGCTATAAAACAATGTGTACATGTATATCTGCAGGATTTCTCCCAGGGCCCGCTGACACAAGGAAACACGGCCAGTCAGCACTTCCAGATGAGCCAGGGACTCAGCGGCCTCTCCCAGCCAGGTCTTAGCGGGTTGTCCCAGGCAGAACTGTCCCAGGTGGGTCAACCCGTCACTATGTTGGCTATCATGTGCACATTTTTGTCACATCATCATCAGGTGCCTTGCCGACTAAAGTGGATGATCATGCCTCTCCACAACCTGCAGACTCTTGCAGCATGTATCCGTTCGTGTGCTGACACACCTCCATGCCATGCAACAAGACTGTCGAGCATCTTCTCTCATTGTCTTCCTCTATCCCTCCTTCCACAGATCTTTCCACTCGTCACAACATGTTCTATTTTCTCTCTTCTCATAACATGGCCGAAAAATGATGACCGTCTCCTTCTGCCTGTGATTAGTTGTCTTCGAGTTCCCGCCTTTTTCAAAACCTCTTGGCTGCTCTTTTTGGCTGTCCATGGTATTTTAAGCATTCTTCTGTAAAACCACATCTCTGAGGCCTGTAAAACCACATTTCTAAGGCCTCTTAAAAATTGTTTAGCCTGCCTACCGATTGTCCAGGACTCACAGCCATATGTTAAAACTGGATGTAAGCAGCAAGCAAGAATTCTTTTTCTAATCCTCAATGACAGATTTATTGCATAGGATTTTATAAAATGCAGTTTTTGACTGTCCTATTCTGTTTCTTATCTCAGTCATGCATCTTCCATCTGATGTTATCCATGTGCCCAGATACTTAAATTTCTGTACTTGTCCTCAAATAAAACCATTGACTTTTATTACACATTTAGGAATCATTCTTGTCTTTGATACCACCATTACTTCTGTCTTCCCATTATTCAAACTTTCTACCACCACAATGTTTATAGACATCAATAATCATGAACAGTATTCTCTGTTTTGATTTAGGCACTCAGTGTGTCAAGGTTTAGGCACTCAGTGTGTCAAGATTTAGGCACTCAGTGTGTCAAGATTTAGGCACTCAGTGTGTCAAGGTTTAGGCACTCAGTGTGTCAAGGTTTAGGCACTCAGTGTGTTAAGGTTTAGACACTCAGTGTGTCAAGATTTAGGCACTCAGTGTGTCAAGGTTTAGGCACTCAGTGTGTCAAGGTTTAGGCACTCAGTGTGTCAAGGTTTAGGCACTCAGTGTGTCAAGATTTAGGCACTCAGTGTGTCAAGGTTTAGGCACTCAGTGTGTCAAGATTTAGACACTCAGTGTGTCAAGGTTTAGGCACTCAGTGTGTCAAGGTTAAGGCACTCAGTGTGTCAAGGTTTAGACACTCAGTGTGTAAAGGTTTAGGCACTCAGTGTGTCAAGGTTTAGGCACTCAGTGTGTCAAGGTTTAGGCACTCAGTGTGTCAAGGTTTAGGCACTCAGTGTGTCAAGGTTTAGGCACTCAGTGTGTCAAGGTTTAGGCACTCAATGTGTCAAGGTTTAGGCACTCAGCGTGTCAAGGTTTAGGCACTCAGTGTGTCAAGGTTTAGACACTCAGCGTGTAAAGGTTTAGGCACTCAGTGTGTCAAGGTTTAGGCACTCAGTGTGTCAAGGTCTAGACACTCAATGTGTCAAGGTTTAGACACTCAGTATGTCAAGGTTTAGGCACAGTGGTCAAAGTTTCAAACAAGCAACTGAAAGCATGCTCTATATAGTAGTTTTATAAAGTCAGCGGGCCGTTTTTGCAGCAGTCACGCATCTGACGTATGATTTTGGGCGTATATTTATATAGAGCAGTAGGTGGATGATGTTAACATCACAGTAGTCACCTTGGCTTGCCAGGACACTTATTTTTGGCTGGGTCAGGCCAACCTACGAGCCAGGGTAAATTGTGAAAATCTCTACCATGATGTTGGTTCAAACACAGGAGGTTCAGGGCAACATCTAGCCACTACATCACTGTGGCCTGGTCCACTGTGTATTGTTTAAACACAAGAGCTTCAGGCCAACATCTAGCCACTACATCACTGCGGCCAGGTCCACTGTGTATTGTTTAAACACAAGAGCTTCAGGCCAACATCTAGCTACTACATCACTGCTGCCTGGTCCACTGTGTATTGTTTAAACACAAGAGCTTCAGGCCAACATCTAGCCACTACATCACTGCTGCCTGGTCCACTGTGTATTGTTTAAACACAAGAGCTTCAGGCCAACATCTAGCCACTACATCACTGTGGCCTGGTCAAATGCAGCCACTTTTGCCTGTGAAGTCTATGAAGGGTTGCAGAAGACAGAAACCGATGGCGACAGTGCCGGATCTCAAGGATGCATACAGTAGAGTAAGATGCAACATTTCACTGACTGCACTAAAACGGGAACGAGTTGGGACATGCATGCATTGTGCATCTGTGGATACGACGTTAACACTTTAGCAAAAGTTAATCATACGAGAGAGGCTGCCTATGTATGTCAGTGAAGGGCCTCTTTCCTTGTCTTCAGGCATATTGGGCGTATAGGGCTAGTCCTGTTATTTATACACCATTTGACACTTGGTCAGTGATGTGGTCAACATCTTGCTGACTGCCTTTACTTCCCAGGACTTTACCTTGAATCCATTTGTCTGGGTCAACCTGGGAGCCAAGGTCATTTTTTAAAAAGGACCTAAACCCATAACCTTTGGATTTGCATGCAAGCATCTGGTCACTACACCACTGCAACTTCCTGTGTATGTTTGTGTGTATGTTTGTGTGTATGTTTGTGTGTATGTTTGTGTGTATGTTTGTGTGTATGTTTGTGTGTATGTTTGTGTGTATGTTTGTGTGTATGTTTGTGTGTATGTTTGTGTGTATGTTTGTGTGTATGTATGAATATAAAATGAATTCATGCCTAATACAGCCAGAGGGAAGTTCACTGATAGAGAATTCATTTGATCATAGAGTCACAGAGATTGTACAGTGACAGAGATTGTACAGTCACAGAGATTGTGCAGTGACAGAGATTGTACAGTGACAGAGATTGTACAGTGACAGAGATTGTACAGTGACAGAGATTGTACAGTGACAGAGATTGTACAGTCACAGAGATTGTACAGTCACAGAGATTGTACAGTCACAGAGATTGTACAGTGACAGAGATTGTACAGTGACAGAGATTGTACAGTGACAGAGATTGTACAGTGACAGAGATTGTACAGTGACAGAGATTGTACAGTGACAGAGATTGTACAGTGACAGAGATTGTACAGTGACAGAGATTGTACAGTGACAGAGATTGTACAGTGACAGAGATTGTACAGTGACAGAGATTGTACAGTCACAGAGATTGTACAGTCACAGAGATTGTACAGTCACAGAGATTGTACAGTGACAGAGATTGTACAGTGACAGAGATTGTACAGTCACAGAGATTGTACAGTCACAGGGATTGTACAGTCACAGGGATTGTACAGTCACAGGGATTGTACAGTCACAGAGATTGTACAGTCACAGAGATTGTACAGTGACAGAGATTGTACAGTCACAGAGATTGTACAGTCACAGAGATTGTACAGTCACAGAGATTGTACAGTCACAGAGATTGTACAGTCACAGAGATTGTACAGTGACAGAGATTGTACAGTGACAGAGATTGTACAGTGACAGAGATTGTACAGTGACAGAGATTGTACAGTCACAGAGATTGTACAGTCACAGAGATTGTACAGTCAGTCACAGAGATTGTACAGTCACAGAGATTGTACAGTCACAGAGATTGTACAGTCACAGAGATTGTACAGTCACAGAGATTGTACAGTCACAGAGATTGTACAGTCACAGAGATTGTACAGTGACAGAGATTGTACAGTCACAGAGATTGTACAGTCACAGAGATTGTACAGTCACAGAGATTGTACAGTCACAGAGATTGTACAGTGACAGAGATTGTACAGTCACAGAGATTGTACAGTCACAGAGATTGTACAGTCACAGAGATTGTACAGCGACAGAGATTGTACAGCGACAGAGATTGTACAGCGACAGAGATTGTACAGCGACAGAGATTGTACAGCGACAGAGATTGTACAGCGACAGAGATTGTACAGCGACAGAGATTGTACAGCGACAGAGATTGTACAGCGACGAAGATCGAACAGTGACGGAGACCGTAGAGTGACGGAGACCGTAGAGTGACAGAGATCGCAGTACAGTGACAGAGATCATAGAGTGATGGAGATCGTACATTGGCGGCGATCGCAGTGACGGAGATCATACAGTGACGGAAATCATACATTGACAGAATTCATACGGTGACAGAGATTGTACAATGTTAAAGATTGTAGTGTCAGAGATTCTATGGTGATGGAAATCGTACAGTGACGGAGATCATGGTGATATAGATCATACAGTTTCCAAAAGCATCAGTATGTCTTTGTTTTTGTTTTTGTTTTCAGGATAGCTTCATGGCAGACGACTACCGTTCTCAGATGGATGTCTTGCTGTCCCAGGACTCCACGTACCAGGGAGACCGCCTTTATCTGGCCTCCCAGCTCTCTCAGGGGCCATTCAACTAGGTGCTCAGTCTTTCACACCTCAGTGGACGAAATGATGACCTAGTTTCCCCCAAATGGTCAGGCGCAGCTCACTACAAGAAGGCAAATCGGAGCACCACAGAAGCAACTTCACACCAAGTATGGTTGGTATACCACTCCAGCTCCTAAACCGGGCGGCAGATGTTTATGGTTTGAAACCAGCAACGGAAGTATAGGATCGCACAATCTCCAGTCAGATACAACAGTTTGTTGTATCCACTGCCACCCGTTGGCACACACATATTCAACAAGACACTTTTTTCTCCCCCTTTTTTCATCTGTGAAAAATGTAGAGGGTGTGGGTTTTTTTGTTTTTGTAAATGAAATGTTTGAAATCACTGTCTCCCAGTACTCTACTTCTAGCTGACAATGAAATGTTTGATATCACTGTCTCCCAGTACTCTACATCCAGCTGACAATGAAATGTTTGAAATCACTGTCTCCCAGTACTCTACCATCCAGCTGACAATGAAATGTTTGAAATCACTGTCTCCCAGTACTCTCCATCCAGGTTCATACAGCTGACAATGCAAATCTCAGAACTTAAAACATAACCATGCACCATTGATCAAGGATGTGTTTAGTTGTTGGAACACCTGTCTGTCTGTGTGCCTGTCCCCATAAGCTATGGGACACATGGCGTGATTGATCATTCTTAAACCTGTACCTTCAAACTCCTATATCCGGTCACACAGGTATCTTGCCGTACCAATTCTTCACTGCTGTCTGTCTGTCTGTCTGTCTGTCATTTTCTGAGTGTCTCCCTGCATCTGGTACCTTTCTCGACACTGGCTAGTTAATACTGGTCCATCACAAGTGATTTCTGGACTTTGTCGTGAAACTGTTGATTGTCTTTGAGTCCAGAGCTAATTTATGTGCCCAAGACAGGCCCAGGAGGATCTAGGACAGTGACAGCAGGCAGCCATGTCTGTAGTTAAAGGGCCAGTTGTCCAGGACTTTTCTTCACCTGTCTTGTATTTACAGCTGGCAGACTGAAAGACTTATCTGGCCAAGAACAGTTTTCTTTCTTCTTCCTGTATTTTCTCATCTGGATGTTCTTACTAAAGGACAGTACAGCAAGGGAAGTGTGTATTCCATCAGTAATTTGTAAGATACTCTTCCAACATTATCTGCAAAATATTAAATACTTAATCAGTCGAGCTTTGAGAAAACAGATAACCAACTTTCTATCATAGCGTATCTGGAGAGTGTCTTTTAAAACTGGACAATTTACTGTCTAGAGCAAGGAGAAGTGAACTGTCATTTTTAAACATCTGTCATCAGTTAATTTAGAGCTGTCAAGTTTTAAACTGTCTAGAGCTGTTAATCAAAGTTTAAAACCTCTAGAGCTTCCATCATTAAAAGCTGTCTAGAGCTGTCATCAATTTAAAACTGTCTAGAGCTGTCAGTCTAGAGCTTCATCAGAAAACAGATAACCAACTTTCAAATCAGTTTAAAAACTGTCTAGAGCAGTAAAACTGTCTAGAGCTGTCCATTCAATTTAAAACTCTAGAGCTGTCATCAGTTTAAAACGTGTCTAGCTGTGTCATCATTTGAAAAAAGCTGTCAGTTTAGAAACTGTCTAGAGCTCATCAAGTCTGTCAATTTAAAACTGTTTAAAACTGTCTAGAAAACTGCTAGAGCTGTCATCAATTTAAACTGTCTTGAGCTCATCAGTTTAACACTGTCTAGAGCTGTCGTCAATTTAAAACTGTCTAGAGCTGTCATCAATTTAAAACTGTCTAGAGCTGTCGTCAGTTTAAAACTGACTAGAGCTGTCATCAGTTTAAAACTGTCTAGAGCTGTCATCAGTTTAAAACTGTCTAGAGCTGTCATCAATTTAAAACTGTCTAGAGCTGTCATCAATTTAAAACTGTCTAGAGCTGTCATCAGTTTAAAACTGTCTAGAGCTGTCATCAATTTAAAACTGTCTAGAGCTGTCATCAGTTTAAAAAGCTGTCTAGACATCACGCAGTTTATGTGTTTTTTGGTCATCAGTTTTAAAACTGGAGCTGATAAAAAAGCAGAGCTGTCTGTTTAAATATATAGAGCTGTCATCAATTAAAAAGCTTAGCATCACGCAGTTTTGTGTTTTTTTGGGGTGATAAAACTAGCAGAAGCTGTTTAAATATGTCTTTCAGAAAATCTGTCAGCAGTTGTCTTCACTTTAGAAAGGTGTCAGAAAAAAAAAAATAAAAGATTTTTTATTTGCTAATGCTGTTAAAATCTCAGATACTTGTGAATTAAAATTGTCAAAAAATGACATACTTTTGTGATAAAGCTGTCAAAATATTACATATTTGTGTGATAGATGTTGAAATACCAGATACTTGTGACAAAGCTGTCAAAGTATAGGATATTTGTGTGAAAAAGATGATGACAATAAGATATTTGTGTGAAAACGCTATCATCAAAAATTGAAAAAATTTTCCAGTGGAAAAATTGGATACTTGATAAAATAATGCTTTGGCTGGGCTGTCTCCCTCAAGAAACTGGATTGCTCCATGAATTGATGAACTGTTGCCAGTTGGCAGCCGATGCCAGCAGCAGAAGTGGTGCAGGGGAAATGCAAATCAATGTGGCTGCTGTGTCCTGATTCATTGAATGTCCCTGGCAGAGAAATGAGAACTTTAGACTGTACACTCATGTGTATCCTGGCACACAAGTGCCTGCCTGTTCTCACTTGCCAGTTAGAATACATGATTTTCCTGAGAGTCAAATACAAAACTGTTAATTTTAATTTCTTTCAGTATTTTTTCTTTCTGTATAAATATCTAAATGTTTGCTTTGACAAGTTTAGCTTGCATCACCTGCCTATACTAGAGTGTGCCAGTAGCTTAGGTTCGCTGAATTCATTGAATAATGAAGAATTGTCTAAAGCACACTTTGTTTGACCCCATTCCTTGTAGTTAGCTGTATTGTTTTATTATTCTTAGTTGCACCTGTAAGCCAAGTTTTCAACCAATAAAATCAAAAACATTTCACTTTAGTCCTGTACTTTTTGTCTCTTTGAAGTCTGGTGTTGAATGTTCAGTAGCAGTTGACTGTGCTTCCATTCATTCTCTGATACAGTGTCGTCAGAAACTAGAGGACCAGAGATGAGGACATTATGGGGCTGCTCTTACCTAAATGTATGTGGTCAAAAGGTTACCAGCGGTGGCTCACCTGCTGTTTTAGTTTAATCTGGCAGTATTTTAGAGCTGAACAAAGTCTTGATTTGGACAAGTTATTATGAATACATTTGGAGCTTCACATTGCCCTGGCAAGTTTGTTGACATGTTCACTGAATAACTTTCAGTATAGTAGTAGTTCTTAGCTTTCTCCAAGTTCTGGTTGTTTGCCTACTCCTGAACTGTGGAGTTTTGTTTCTCCAAGTTCTGGTTGTTTGCCTACTCCTGAACTGTGGAGTTTTGTTTCTCCAAGTTCTGGTTGTTTGCCTACTCCTGAACTGTGGAGTTTTGTTTCTCCAAGTTCTGGTTGTTTGCCTACTCCTGAACTGTGGAGTTTTGTTTCTCCAAGTTCTGGTTGTTTGCCTACTCCTGAACTGTGGAGTTTTGTTTCTCCAAGTTCTGGTTGTTTGCCTACTCCTGAACTGTGGAGTTTTGTTTCTCCAAGTTCTGGTTGTTTGCCTACTCCTGAACTGTGGAGTTTTGTTTCTCCAAGTTCTGGTTGTTGGCCTACTCCTGAACTGTGGAGTTTTGTTTCTCCAAGTTCTGGTTGTTTGCCTACTCCTGAACTGTGGAGTTTTGTTTCTTCAAGTTCTGGTTGTTTGCCTACTCCTGAACTGTGGAGGTTTGTTTCTCCAAGTTCTGGTTGTTTGCCTACTCCTGAACTGTGGAGTTTTGTTTCTCCAAGTTCTGGTTGTTTGCCTACTCCTGAACTGTGGAGTTTTGTTTCTCCAAGTTCTGGTTGTTTGCCTACTCCTGAACTGTGGAGTTTTTGTTTCTCCAAGTTCTGGTTGTTGGCCTACTCCTGAACTGTGGAGTTTTGTTTCTCCAAGTTCTGGTTGTTGGCCTACTCCTGAACTGTGGAGTTTTGTTTCTCCAAGTTCTGGTTGTTTGCCTACTCCTGAACTGTGGAGTTTTGTTTCTCCAAGTTCTGGTTGTTTGCCTACTCCTGAACTGTGGAGTTTTGTTTCTCCAAGTTCTGGTTGTTGGCCTACTCCTGAACTGTGGAGTTTTGTTTCTCCAAGTTCTGGTTGTTGGCCTACTCCTGAACTGTGGAGTTTTGTTTCTCCAAGTTCTGGTTGTTGGCCTACTCCTGAACTGTGGAGTTTTGTTTTTCTCCAAGTTCTGGTTGTTGGCCTACTCCTGAACTGTGGAGTTTTGTTTCTCCAAGTTCTGGTTGTTGGCCTACTCCTGAACTGTGGAGTTTTGTTTCTCCAAGTTCTGGTTGTTTGCCTACATTGTCAACTGAACTGTGGAGTTTGTGGATTTCACACACAAGTTGCCATTGTTGTTGTGTGGATCCTATGTCATACACAACTGTGGATTGTTTCGTGTGGATCGCTTGATGTCACAACTGTGTGATTGTTGGTCTGTGGATGATTGATGTCCCACAACTGTCTCCATTGCCAAGTTCACAACTGTCCATTGTTGGTCACATGTCACACACAAACTGTTTTGTTGGTTGTGTGGATCCTTGATGAACAACTGTATGCCATTGTTGGTCTTTCGCTAGAAATCACAACATTTATTGTTGGTCGTGTGGATCATTGATGTCACACACAACTGTATGCGACTGTTGGTCATGTGGATCGCTTGATGTCATACACAACTGAGTGTCATTGTTGGTCGTGTGGATCGCTTGATGTCACACACAACTGTGGGTCATTGTTGGTCGTGTGGATCGCTTGATGTCATACACAACTGTATGCCATTGTTGGTCGTGTGGATCGCTTGATGTCACACACAACTGTGTGTCATTGTTGGTTGTGTGGATCGCTTGATGTCACACACAACTGTGTGCCATTGTTGGTTGTG